ATTGATAGTAGGGATCCCTACGAATTCAAAAAGGTGTAACATTTTAAAATCTGACAATAATTACCTGAGATATTCAATAAAAATCATCAAAAAAGTTTTGATTTTCGAACCGACCCCGAATTTAAGAAAAAACGTGATGTAACCCCTTGGCTTTTTGTTGATTTGGGTCAAAATTTAGATTTTTATTTTTTTGATGCCAATCGATAGTACTGATCCTTACGATTCCAAAATGGTATAAAATTACCAAATCAGTACATTATTTGGCCGAGATATTCCAAAAAATGATCAAAAAAGGTTGACTTTACAAACGAATCGGTTTCTGGTCAACCACTTTTTTGAACCCATCGATTTTTAAAATGTTTGAATGCAGATTGATAGTAGGGATCCCTACGAATTCAAAAAGGTTAACATTTTAAAATCTACAATATTACCGAGATATTCAATAAAAATCATCACAAAAGGTTTGATTTTCGAACCGGCCTCGAATTTAAGAAAAACGTGATGTAACCCCTTGCCATTTTGTTGATTTGGGTCAAAATTTAGATTTTTATTTTTTTGATGCCAATCGATAGTACTGATCCTTACGATTCCAAAATGGTATAAAATTACCAAATCGTACATTATTTGGCCGAGATATTCCAAAAAATCATCAAAAAAGGTTGACTTTACAAACGAATCGGTTTCTGGTCAACCACTTTTTTTAACCCATCGATTTTTAAAATGTTTGAATGCAGATTGATAGTAGGGATCCCTACAAATTCAAAAAGGTATAACATTTTAAAATCTACCAATATTTACCCGAGACATTCAATAAAAATCATCAAAAAAGTTTTGATTTTCGAACCGACCCCGAATTTAAGAAAAAACGTGATGTAACCCCTTGCCATTTTGTTGATTTGGGTCAAAATTTAGATTTTTATTTTTTTGATGCCAATCGATAGTACTGATCCTTACGATTCCAAAATGGTATAAAATTACCAAATCGGACATTATTTGGCCGAGATATTCCAAAAAATCAGCAAAAAAGGTTGACTTTACAAACGAATCGGTTTCTGGTCAACCACTTTTTTTAACCCATCGATTTTTAAAATGTTTGAATGCAGATTGATAGTAGGGATCCCTACGAATTCAAAAAGGTATAACATTTTAAAATCTGACAATAATTACCTGAGATATTCAATAAAAATCATCAAAAAAGTTTTGATTTTCGAACCGACCCCGAATTAAAGAAAAAACGTGATGTAACCCCTTGCCATTTTGTTGATTTGGGTCAAAATTTAGATTTTTATTTTTTTGATGCCAATCGATAGTACTGATCGTTACGATTCCAAAATGGTATAAAATTACCAAATCGTACATTATTTGGCCGAGATATTCCAAAAAATCATCAAAAAGGTTGACTTTACAAACGAATCGGTTTTTGGTCAACCACTTTTTTTAACCCATCGAGTTTTAAAATGTTTGAATGCAGATTGATAGTAGGGATCCCTACGAATTCAAAAAGGTATAACATTTTAAAATCTGACAATATTTACCCGAGATATTCAATAAAAATCATCAAAAAAGGTTTGATTTTCGAACCGGCCCCGAATTTGAAAAAAACGTGATGTAACCCCTTGCCATTTTGTTGTTTTGGGTCAAAATTTAGATTTTTATTTTTTTGATGCCAATCGATAGTACTGATCCTTACGATTCCAAAATGGTATAAAATTACCAAATCGTACATTATTTGGCCGAGATATTCCAAAAAATCATCAAAAAAGGTTGACTTTACAAACGAATCGGTTTCTGGTCAACCACTTTTTTTAACCCATCGATTTTTAAAATGTTTGAATGCAGATTGATAGTAGGGATCCCTACAAATTCAAAAAGGTATAACATTTTAAAATCTACCAATATTTACCCGAGACATTCAATAAAAATCATCAAAAAAGTTTTGATTTTCGAACCGACCCCGAATTTAAGAAAAAACGTGATGTAACCCCTTGCCATTTTGTTGATTTGGGTCAAAATTTAGATTTTTATTTTTTTGATGCCAATCGATAGTACTGATCCTTACGATTCCAAAATGGTATAAAATTACCAAATCGTACATTATTTGGCCGAGATATTCCAAAAAATCATCAAAAAAGGTTGACTTTACAAACGAATCGGTTTCTGGTCAAACACTTTTTTGAACCCATTGATTTTTAATATGTTTGAATGCAGATTGATAGTAGGGATCCCTACGAATTCAAAAAGGTATAACATTTTAAAATCTGACAATATTTACCCGAGATATTCAATAAAAATCATCAAAAAAGGTTTGATTTTCGAACCGGCCCCGAATTTGAAAAAAACGTGATGTAACCCCTTGCCATTTTGTTGTTTTGGGTCAAAATTTAGATTTTTATTTTTTTGATGCCAATCGATAGTACTGATCCTTACGATTCCAAAATGGTATAAAATTACCAAATCGGATATTATTTGGCCGAGATATTCCAAAAAATCATCAAAAAAGGTTGACTTTAAAAACAAATCGGTTTCTGGTCAAACACTTTTTTGAACCCATCGATTTTTAAAATGTTTGAATGCAGATTGATAGTAGGGATCCCTACGAATTCAAAAAGGTATAACATTTTAAAATCTGACAATATTTACCCGAGATATTCAATAAAAATCATCAAAAAAGGTTTGATTTTCGAACCGGCCCCGAATTTGAAAAAAACGTGATGTAACCCCTTGCCATTTTGTTGATTTGGGTCAAAATTTAGATTTTTATTTTTTTGATGCCAGTCGATAGTACTGATCATTACGAATTCAAAATGGTATAAAATTACCAAATCGTACATTATTTGGCCGAGATATTCCAAAAAATGATCAAAAAAGGTTGACTTTACAAAGGAATCGGTTTCTGGTCAACCACTTTTTTTAACCCATCGATTTTTAAAATGTTTGAATGCAGATTGATAGTAGGGATCCCTACGAATTCAAAAAGGTATAACATTTTAAAATCTGACAATATTTACCCGAGATATTCAATAAAAATCATCAAAAAAGGTTTGATTTTCGAACCGGCCCCGAATTTGAAAAAAACGTGATGTAACCCCTTGCCATTTTGTTGATTTGGGTCAAAATTTAGATTTTTATTTTTTTGATGCCAGTCGATAGTACTGATCATTACGAATTCAAAATGGTATAAAATTACCAAATCGGACATTATTTGGCCGAGATATTCCAAAAAATCATCAAAAAAGGTTGACTTTACAAACAAATCGGTTTCTGGTCAAACACTTTTTTGAACCCATCGATTTTTAAAATGTTTGAATGCAGATTGATAGTAGGGATCCCTACGAATTCAAAAAGGTATAACATTTTAAAATCTGACAATAATTACCTGAGATATTCAATAAATATCATCAAAAAAGGTTTGATTTTCGAACCGGCCCCGAATTTGAAAAAAACGTGATGTAACCCCTTGCCATTTTGTTGATTTGGGTCAAAATTTAGATTTTTATTTTTTTGATGCCAATCGATAGTACTGATCCTTACGATTCCAAAATGGTATAAAATTACTAAATCGGACATTATTTGGCCGAGATATTCCAAAAAATCAGCAAAAAAGGTTGACTTTACAAACAAATCGGTTTCTGGTCAAACACTTTTTTGAACCCATTGATTTTAAAAATGTTTGAATGCAGATTGATAGTAGGGATCCCTACGAATTCAAAAAGGTGTAACATTTTAAAATCTGACAATAATTACCTGCGATATTCAATAAAAATCATCAAAAAAGTTTTGATTTTCGAACCGACCCCGAATTTAAGAAAAAACGTGATGTAACCCCTTGCCATTTTATCGATTTAAGTCAAAATTTAGATTTTTATTTTTTTGATGCCAATCGATAGTACTGATCCTTACGATTCCAAAATGGTATAAAATTACCAAATCGTACATTATTTGGCCGAGATATTCCAAAAAATCATCAAAAAAGGTTGACTTTACAAACGAATCGGTTTTTGGTCAACCACTTTTTTTAACCCATCGATTTTTAAAATGTTTGAATGCAGTTTGATAGTAGGGATCCCTACGAATTCAAAAAGGTATAACATTTTAAAATCTACCAATATTTACCCGAGATATTCAATAAAAATCATCAAAAAAGTTTTGATTTTCGAACCGACCCCGAATTTAAGAAAAAACGTGATGTAACCCCTTGCCATTTTGTTGATTTGGGTCAAAATTTAGATTTTTATTTTTTTGATGCCAGTCGATAGTACTGATCATAACGATTCCAAAATGGTATAAAATTACCAAATCGTACATTATTTGGCCGAGATATTCCAAAAAATCATCAAAAAAGGTTGACTTTACAAACGAATCGGTTTTTGGTCAACCACTTTTTTTAACCCATTTGTCGAATTATGAAAATCCTTAAATCGATAGTCCTGCTCTCTACGAGTTCAAAAAGGTATATCGTTCCAATATCCTTCAGGATTTGGCTGAGTTATGGCCATAAAAATTATGTCATTTTTAGAAAAATTGCCATAACTCGGCCATATCCTTTACGATTTTCAAAGGATTTGGCGCGTTAGAATCGCAAGGACCAACTGCATCGATCTGCATTAAAAAATTTCAGGCTCACCTCAGAGTTATTGCGTGCGACAAGCAAAAAGACCGAAAGCAAAAGATCTCATATATTTTAGTAACTACAAAGACAATTTCTATGTCCTTTGGCCAGTTGATAGTCCTAGCCCATTCAAATCGCTTGACGAGACCACAACAGGATAATTGGCAGGATAACGACTAACCGTTGGATATGGGACACTAGAAAAGTGCTTGAAATGGGCAAGTTATGGTTGATTTTGTTAAAAATATATAATACAGAATACCCATTTTAGAAAAATACCAATGGCTCGGAAATAACTTTACAGACTTTGGAAGGTACGTTAGGATCGTAGGGAATACATTTATCAATATACATTCAAGAATTTGATGGTAATCTTAAGAGTAGTCCAAAATTTCACAATAAGCAATCAGATTTTTATATTTTGCACCTTGGGACCGATATAATTTACAAAACTAAAAAATATGTTTATAATAAATGTATCCCCTAAAATATTAACACCCTTTCCCCCTGTTAAAAATTAACAACGCTTCATTTGTACTCCTGATTCAGCTGACGTCCTATGAGCCAGCGTCTGATCTCCGCGGTGCCGCCAGCAATCTCACACAGTTTTGCATCACGCAAAATACGTCCTGTCGGATAGTCATTGATGTAGCCGTTGCCGCCAAGGATTTGCATGGCATCCAAAGCCACTTGAGTGCCCTTTTCGCCGCACAGCAAGAGAACGCCAGCGCAATCTTTGCTGCTTCGCATACCGGCATCTAAGGATCTCACCACAGTGTACAAGTAGCTCCGGCACGCGCTGATAGTCGTGTACATATCTGCCATCTTTCCCTGTATCAGCTGGAACTCGCCAATCAGTTTCCCCATTTGTTTGCGCTGATGGGCATACTCAAAGGCCACGTCGCAGGCAGCCTGCATAAGGCCCAACGGTATACCGGACAATACAGCACGCTCATAGTCCAGACCCGACATCAGCACGTAGACGCCCTTGTTCTCCTGACCCAGCACATTCTTTGCGGGTACTTTGACATTATCAAAAACAAGTTCACAGGTGCTGCTGCCACGTATTCCTAGTTTGTCTAGCTTCTGGGCCACGCTGAAGCCATCCCACGACGTCTCTATAATAAACGTGGTTATCGCTTTGCTGTCCGGCACTCCAGTTGCTCCAGTCCTGGCATATACGATCAACGTATCCGCATCGGAGCCATTGGAGATCCAAAACTTGGTTCCGTTTAGCACGTAGTAATCGCCTTTGCGCTCAGCTCTCAACTTCATTGACAGGACATCGGAGCCAGCACCTGCCTCCGACATTGCCAAGCCTCCGATGTGTTCTCCGCTGCAGAGCTTGGGCAAATACTGTTGCTTCTGTTCGCGTGTTCCGTTTATAGACAGCTGATTGATGCACATATTCGAATGTGCGCCGTAAGAAATTCCTACAGCTCCAGAGGCTCTGTAATGTGGTGATATTGAAAAACTTACTTTTGTTAAAAATTTATTCACATACCTTGAAATTTCCTCCACAACGATGCAGTGGTCCAAGTAATTTCCACCAGTGCCTCCGTATTCGGGATCCGCCGTAATGCCCAGATAGCCCAGTTCGCCTAGTTTTCTCCAAAACGAACGCATATCTCTGTGGTATGAAAAGACTGCTCTGAGTGTCGGCTTTGAATTTATTTTGCGATACCCACTTGAAATTGTCCTGCTTGTCTATTTCCTTAGCATAGGGCGCCAGTTCCTTCTGTACGAAGTTGAAGGTAGTTTCTCTCAGTTTCTGGTGTTCTTTATCCAGGCCGTAAAGCGCATCGTTAACAGGGTAATGGGAGAGTGTGTGGCTCGGTGGAGTTGCTGCAAACAGGCGACGGCCACTTTGTTGCAACAAAATATTGCAAGTTTTGTTTACGAAACGCATTAACATTCCGGTCTACAAGGAGAAAGTTTGTTGGAATTGTATTATTTATAGCTGGGGAGCTGCTAATCTGTGCATATCTGTAGCTCTTCTGTTACTGTTTTCTTTTCACAGACTCACAGATTTGCATGCAAGCAGTTAAAACTGATCTCTTATGAACTACAACAAATGCAGAACGAATTCAACTCTGCTCTTCACGATTGTTTGTTTCCCTGAGTTCACATTCATACATGAAGCTTAAATATATATACCCATCGAGTCATGAATGTACCACAAATATACACTTACATAAGAAATGTATGTATGTATGTGTGTGCGTATGTATCTACGTATGTATGTATGTTTGTATGCATGCATGTATGTATGTATTTATGTATGTATGTTTGAATGTATGTATGTATGATGTACTTGTGTGGGTATATATATTTATGTTTTTATGAATGTTGGTATATATGCATAAGTGTATGTATGTATGAATGTATGTATGTATGTGTGTATGTGTGCATGTGAACATATGTATTTGTGCATTTGAATGCATGTATGTGCGTTAATATGTATGTTTGTATTTATATGAACGGATGCAAGTACATATATGTACGTATATGCTCATATGTGTGATTGCCTGTATGTGGGTATGTATGAAGGTATGTAAACATACAAACAAGACCCAGACATGCCACTTCTATCGAATGTCGTCCTATGCGATTCTCATGAATTCAAGTAGGCCTCACAAGTTGAAGCCTGCCCTTAAGAAGGCAGCAGCTTTGACGAGGAGGAGGTGGCTTCGACCAGGAGGTGCCGGCTTCGACCAAGAGGAGGCGGCTTCGACCAGGATCAGGTGGAGGTGGCTTCGACCAGGAGGTGGCGGCTTCGACCAGAAGGCGGCTCTTTTGATAATGAGGCAGCGGCTTTAACAAGAGGCAGCGATTTTAATAAGGGGAAGCAACCTTAAATAAGGACGGGGCCGCTTAGACAGTGAGGCAGCGCCTTTAACAAGAAGGAGGCGGCGATTTCGATAAGGAGAAGGTTTGATAAGGATGCATGTATGTAGGAATTTATGCACATATATCTATATATAAAACTGTTGAAATTCCACCCGCACGTACGGAAAAAACGTTTGTATGAAACTCCTTGGTTAACCATCCGATCGGTTTAAAACTAATTTTCATATATCTTTGAGAGATTTTATTTTAGATGTGCCACGGGCAAGGCCGGGGTATACCCGCTAGTATCCTATTTAGACATATGTCGAAATTTCCCACCCCCATAATTCGGTCAAAACTCAACCGATTTTCATAAGGTTTGGCTTTTTGTTCTTGGTTTGGCCTATAGAACAATTTGGCATCTAAATCTGAAAAGATTGAGAGAATTTATTGTATATCACGGGCAAGGCCGGCGTATACCCGCTAGTATATTTTTAGATGTATATACATATTTATACAAAGAAGCATATAAATGGGGGAAATTTTGACCTGTGCAGGGTTTATCTTATCATTTACTAGTAACTAGTAACCTAGTAATGTTTCTTCCGTTTCAGAAGTGTTATCAACTTTTATTTATATTCCTTATTTAACTGACGTCCAATTAGCCAACGTCTGATCTCCGAAGTGCCGGCACCGAGCTCACAGACTTTGGCATCCCGCAAAATTCGTCCTGTTGGATAGTCATTGATGTAACCATTGCCCCCAAGGATTTGTATGGCATCCAAAGCGACTTGAATCACTTTTTCGCCGCAGTACAGTAAAGCTCCAGCGCAATCCTTACTGTAAACAACGCCAGCATCGCAGGATCTTGCCACATTATACAGATAACTGCGACAAGCGCTCAGCGTCGTGCACATATCTGCCATCTTTCCCTGTATAAGCTGGAACTCACCAATCAGCTTACGCATTTGCCTGCGCTGGTGGGCATAGTCAAAGGCCACGTCGCAGGCGGCTTGCATTAGGCCAACCGGAATGCCAGACAATATCACACGTTCATAGTCCAAGCCAGCCATCAGAATGTAGACGCCCTTGTTCTCCTGACCCAGCACATTCTTTGCCGGCACTTTGAGATCCTGGAAAACAAGTTCACAGGTGCTGCTGCCACGCATGCCCAGCTTATCGAGCTTTTGGGCTACGCTGAAGCCATCCCACGACGTCTCTATAATAAACGCGGTTATCGCTTTGCTGTCCGGCACTCCAGTTGCTCCAGTCCTGGCATATACGATCAACGTATCCGCATCGGAACCATTGGAGATCCAAAACTTGGTACCGTTTAGCACGTAATAATCGCCTTTGCGCTCAGCTCGCAACTTCATTGACAGTATATCGGAGCCGGCACCTGCCTCCGACATGGCCAAGCCTCCGATGTGTTCTCCGCTGCAGAGCTTGGGCAAATACTGTTGCTTCTGTTCGGGTGTTCCGTGTAAAGTCAGTTGGTTGACACATAGATTGGAATGTGCGCCATAGGAAATTCCTACAGCTCCGGAGGCTCTGTACGTGGGGCAAACATATTATTCTTGGAAGTTATCAATGGACTCCAGCGGACTTACCTTGAAATTTCCTCCACTATGATGCAGTTGTCCAAGTAGCTGCCGCCAGTACCGCCGTATTCAGGCTCCGCCGTAATGCCCAAATAACCCAGTTGACCCAACTTGCGCCAGAACGAACGCATATCTCTGCAGTTTAGAAGGGGTCCCCTTAAAGTCGCCCTTTTGTTTGAAAGCACGCAACTCACTCGAAATTGTCCAGCTTGTCGATTTCCTTAGCGTGGGGCGCCAGTTCCTTTTGCGCGAAATTGAAGGCAGTTTCTCGCAGTTTCTGGTGTTCCTTATTCAGGCCGTAAAGCGCATCGTTAACAGGATAATGGGTGAGTGTGCGGCTCGATGGAGTTGCTGCGGACAGGCGGCGGCCACTTTGTTGGAGCAAAATGTTGCAATTTTTATTTAGCACAAGGCGCAATGCCATTTCAATATATGGGAAATAATATTTGTTGATGGAAAATTTTCAGCTGCCGACTTCGAGCTGCCTATCTGAGCGCGATCGACACAATTCTGCTCCTCTTGTTTTTCATGCACTTATAAATATGAAAGCAATTATTGAAAACTGAACTCTTGTGAACTGAGCAAAGCGCAAATCAAGTGTAAAGCTGCTGATCGTGCTATCTTGTTGTGCTGAATTCGGTTTGGTACATTTGCAGCTACCCACACATTTAAACCCGACGAACAAGGCGCTTATCGTGGCACATATGCATTAAAAGCAAAATCTTTTGCAGAAAAAATTTCAGTGCATTTGGAAAAATATTATACATTTCATATATATACAAAACTGGATATTTTTTATTAAGAGTCTCTTCATTATAATATTGCTACCTTTATCGGAGCTTAAAGTTCTTGCCCATCTTGCATGGGTACCATATAATTACAGTGAAGAATCCTTTAACCGGGCTTTCACTGTATATGTACATACCCCATAATATTAAATAACACACATTTCTTAAAATAATTACCCAAAATAGTTTTTTTATTATCCAACAATCGATATTATATATCTATATATTTCACAAAAAATACCTACAAAAAATAAATGCAACAAATAGTCTTCTGTTTCCACAATAATGCACAATTAACTCCACCATAAATGCGTCCATGCTCAAGGCATAAAAACGTTTCACTTGTACTCTTGATTCAGCTCACGTCCGATCAGCCAGCGTCTGATTTCCGAGGTGCCGGCACCGATTTCGTATAGCTTAGCATCGCGCAAGATGCGTCCAGTTGGATTCTCATTGATGTAGCCGTTGCCACCAAGGATTTGTATGGCATCCAAAGCCACTTGCGTGGCTTTCTCGGCGCAGTACAAGATGACGCCGGCACAATCTTTGCTGCTTCGGACGCCAGCATCGCATGATCTTGCTACAGCATACAAGTAGCTCCGGCATGCGCTCAGAGTCGTGTACATATCTGCCATCTTTCCCTGTATTAGCTGGAACTCGCCAATCAGTTTGCCCATTTGCTTGCGCTGATGGGCATAGTCGAAGGCCACGTCACAGGCGGCCTGCATGAGGCCAACTGGTCCGGCAGCCAGGACCAAACGCTCGAATTCCAGACCCGACATCAGCACGTAGACGCCCTTGTTCTCCTGACCCAGCACATTCTTTGCCGGCACTTTGAGATCCTGGAAAACAAGCTCACAGGTGCTGCTGCCACGCATGCCCAGCTTATCGAGCTTTTGGGCTACGCTGAAGCCCTCCCAGCCTGTCTCTACGATGAAGGCGGTAATCGCATGTCTGTCTGGGACACCACTTGCGCCTGTCTTCGCATACACGATCAGGGTTTCGGCGTCGGCTCCATTGGTAATCCAGAACTTGGTACCGTTCAAGACGTAGTAATCGCCCTTGCGTTCCGCACGCAGCTTCATTGAGACGACATCTGAGCCTGCGCCAGATTCAGACATTGCCAGGCCACCTATATGTTCGCCACTGCACAGCTTGGGCAGATACTTTTGCTTTTGCTCCGGTGTGCCGTTCTTGGTCAGTTGGTTGATGCACAGGTTGGAATGTGCTCCATAAGAAAGTGCCACGCCTCCAGCCGCTCTGTAATTAGTGCAAATGTATTGGTTTTGGGAGCAGTCAATGGGCTCGATGAGGTCAGTTACCGCGAAATCTCTTCCATAATGATGCAATGATCCAAATAGCTGCCACCAGTACCTCCGAACTCAGGTTCCGCCGTGATGCCCAAGAAACCCAGTTCACCCATCTTTTTCCAGAACGAGCGCAGATCTCTGTAGTTGAACAGGTGCACATCTTAAGAGGAGTTTTTGTATAACTTTTTCATTGCTCACTTGAAGCTATCCAGCTTGTCTATTTCCTTGGCATAGGGCGCCAGTTCCTTCTGGAAGAAATTGAAGGCAGTCTCGCGTAGCTTCTGACGCTCCTCATCGAGGCCAAATAGAGCATCGTTTATCGGGTAATACGCTAGTGTGCGGCTCCAAGGCGCCGCTGCGGGCAGGCGACTACCACTGTATTGCAGCAAGGTATTGCACGTTTTTGCCACGAAACGCAAGGCCATTGCGACGTCGATGTTTTAGAACAAGAGAAACGAATATTACCTAACCTTTGATCAGCTGTAAGCGAGCGCAGCCTCACTAAGGCGCAACAGGTGTTCCCTGAGTGGCAACGCTGGCGTGATCGCAATGACTATCCAAAAACTATCGATTTACTTATTGGCCGCAAACTATCGAATTCAAATGTGCAGCCCTGAAAACATATTCAACTGCGAACTGTAGCTGTTACTGTTTTCCACATAGGTTAATATATTTGTTTAATATAATTTCGTTATTTAGCGCGTACAGCAACCATGTGGACAGTGCGCATGACTCTACAATGGCAACTGTTTCACTGGCAGTGCAATGGGTTGCTTTGCCGCACGGCATCCGCATCCTGGCGACGAAAAATGCCGACATCAACAAGAGCAACAACAACAACGACAACAACAACAGCAGCAGCAGCAACAACAATTGGAATGAGGACGCAACGCAGCGATAAACAAAAACAGCGCCAGCGCTGCGGGCTCCTGTAATGGGAATTAAAAACCAAGCAGACAGACCCATCAAATCAGTCCAGTTGTTGCCGCTAGTCGTTGCGCGTTAACCGCGCGGAGAGCGTGTCCTTGATATGTTAACGAGTGTAAACGGTTATTGAGGGCCATCTGCACGCGACAAAAGCCTTAAATATATATTTGTTTGTGCAATGCTCTTAAATGTTGATGCAATAAATAAATGCGTGCAGCGTCTTGGAGTGCTATACAATCAATAAGTGAGAGCAATGCGCATGAAATATGCATAAAACCCATTTTGTACAATTCGGCAGGCAAATCGATAAACGTCTCTGAGAGTGTGTAGAGTAATGAAAGTAATGAATAACTTGTCACATACACGTGTGTGTGCGTTCGATTAACGCCCTGACCACCTGGCCCCAACCATCGCGTGCCTGTGTGCCTCCTATTCTCTCGGGTCGTCTATATCCTGTCAATCATCGTTGCTTGTGCGCGCTTTCTGAGGACGCAGTATTGTATTGTAGGTACCTCCTCCCATCCCTCCTCAACCCCTTCCAAATCGCCATTCCCGCTCTGCTCGGCTAACAATGAGTCGTTATGTTTGTTGTTGTAATTGTGTTTTGTTTTTTGTGTGTCACGTTCCTTCGACAGGAACTATTGTTATCCAGTTGCTGTTGTTCATGTTCATGTTGTTGTTGTTGTTATCGTTGTTGTTGTACCACGCTTTTGTATGTGCTGCCATGTTGCTGTAATTACGGGCTTACAAATAATACCACCGCCCACCCACGCATACCCCACCACTGAGCACAATCATGCACGCACTCATCAAAGGTCAAATATCAATGTTCGCGGCTCGATTTATGATAAGGCCAGAAAGCCAGCTATATACTTAATGTTAGATTCATTTGTTACAGTTTATTGATATGTGCACGAGAAGTTTGGTAAAACTTCAACTGCATTTATTTAAAATTACACAACATTGCCAGAAGGTCGCCCGTTTTGATTGATATGCGTGTCTTCTGCGTAATCAGAGCTATATAATTATGTAGGCAGTTGGCAGACAGCTACTGCAATTGCACTTTGCAGTCACTTAAATGCCGCCTAGCTATAAACAGATCACGTCTCACTGTCAGTGCCGAGTTGCTGCATTCTTGAGATGTTTCGTTGCCGCCGCTTAATGCCAAGTGGAATGAACTTGTTGTGCAGCAGCAACAGCAGCAACAGAAACTTGGCCTGCCTGCCTGCCACTTGAGCGTTTGCTGGCAAACACAAAGGGCAACTGATGAGGTAGCAGCAACAGCGCGGCAGCCCAGCCCACAATTGAACTTTGTCACGGAGCCCCCTCGCAGCATGTCTGACATGCAGAACATTAAATGTAGGCGCAATACTCAGACTTGAACTTGTTGAGTCGCATCATCAGCATAAAAAACTTATGATGAACTTTTGTTTTATGGCGCCACTCGAACCGCGGGGCAGGGACGCAGCTGCTACTCAAAGTGAATCCGCCAAACTTGTGCGCCTGCTTTAATTCATCATTTCTTTTGCTGTTGGCAGCCAACCAACTGACGAATCCATCTTGTGCAAGATACAATGCCTAAATATATCGTCAAGCTGTATGTGATAAGCAAATGCAATTGCGCTCTTTTCCAAAATACAAAAAAATAAAGTAAAATAGCAAAATGCGCACACGACTCAGACAACTAAATAAAAAATAAAAGCCAATTATATAGGCGCTGAGCGCTCGCTGGCGGCTGAGAATATACTTATATCCAACGAGCGTGTGACCCAGCGGAGTGACAGTCCAAAAAGTAAAAGCTCTCGTTGCCCGTGTGTCGCCAGAGTCGCCAGCGTCGCCCATTCAGCCAGCCAGCCATTTAGCCATTAGTCGCGCTCGGCACGGCACGGAAAACGATCGACGACAATCGACGACGACGACGACGACAACGCATGGACGCGGCGGATTTCCGTGCGCGATTTTCATACAATTTTCAACTCAATCGAGTTCTAAATACTCTACAACAGCCAATAAAAAACGAACCCTAACACAAACAACACAGCGCCGGCCAGTTTCCAAACGGGCTGCCCAAACAGTTGACGACCAACAGCGGCAGCAGCAGCTGACGGCGGCGGCAGGCAACAATTGCCTGATTAAATTGACAACAACAACAAAAAAAAAAAAAGTTAGTTACTAACTGGAAATCGTTAAAAAGAAAAACAATAAATAACGCGTTGTCACGTAATACAAATTAACTATAATTGAAGAATATAAAGTGTAAATATACATATTCAAATGATGCATAAAAAGTTTCTATGAAAATCTCTTTTGAAACGCAAGTAAAAAAGTGCCACAAGTGTTTATTTGTGCGTATGTCTGTGTTGTGTGTGTGTTGGTGTCAAAAAATTAAATCACCGCATTAAAAATAACTTGAGAAAATCGTTATTTTAAATAAATATATATATATAGCTATATGTAGCTAGATATAAGTATAGATATATCTACGCGATTTCAACGCGCCAAGTAATCAAAGCGACAAAAAACGCGGCGACTGTGCGGGTGCGAGTGTGTGTGTGTGTGTGTGTGTGTGTGTGTGTGTGTGTGTGTGTGTGTATTAGTGTGTGTGAGCTTGCCAAATGTCACTTGTGGCCACTGTGCGTCATTCAGTGCATGTGTATGTGTGTTTTTTTGTGAACATAAAACATAGATAAATTATATAAAATTATTCTCATTTGCGCGCGTGTATTTTGTAGCTCAAGTAAAACCCAGTCGGCCCTCAAATGGAGTCCAATAACAACAACAACAACAACAACAGCGGCAAACGCAGCAAAAAAGGACGTAAAGCTCGCAGCCCAACAAGCACACAGCATCATCCGTGGGATGAAGGTAGGCAGCGCCTCCGCTTTACCCCATCTTTATGACTTGGCCAAAATAAATGATTAGTTGGCAGCCGTTGCGTATACGCCGCATGGGCGACACATCTATATACTCGAGTTTTCCTTTTTTCTGCTAGTCTGTAACTACAAGTACTCGTAGATATACGTAGAACATTACTTATTATGTGTGGTAGCCCCTTCTTGTTGCCCCCAGCATTTGCCTTCTCAACTTGAACAGCTGCCAAAATGTGTCAGTTCAGAGTTGGCGCATGTTTGAATACTCGGTTGGATTCCCAACAAAATCTAACGGGAATTGTAAATCATCTAAAATGACAACACACTAACAATATGCTAGTGTATATGCCCCAACTAAGTGTTTTATTGTTTTTGTATGCAGCTTGCAACAAGCTGCAACTGGCCCAAGGCAATTTGAAAGTTCTTTAGGAAACTGGAATATATTATAAGAAAATTAGGTTTCAAGATTTCTTGGATAACAAATTGAATTCTTTTCTTTTTACTATTTAAAAATTCTGTGGCTAAAGAACTGCATTTTCATTTATTCTTTAGCTAGCTGGAATATATTATAGGAACGTTTGGTTTCAAGATTTTATGGATAACAAATTGAATTCCTTTGTTTTTACTGTTTGAGATTTTGTGGCTGGAGTACTGCATTCTCATTTATTATGCTAAATGTCTTTAAATGCCTCAATATTTGTGGAATGGCTGCAATATTTTAAAGCTTGAATGCTGCGATATGAATATGATTTCCCTTTCAGGTTTTTTTATTAACCTTTACAGGTTTTATGTATAGCTGGGGGCATTCGGCGAGACTATGAGCTGGCAGCCGGCATCTGCTCTGGTCCCATGGGCGTGTTTCACGCTGTGTGAACTAACAAACGGGTTTCACTGTGTGTCAATTTGCCGTTACATCAATCAAAATTCAAATGAGCTAGAAACGAGAGAAACAAGAAGCTGTGATCTATGGCCGGCCATTATCTACAGAAAGTGAAAAGCAGCCGCCACAAATGCATGCCACAAACGGCGCTGATAAAAAAGCGTTTCCCCGTTTTAATTCAAGCACTTGAGACAGCAGCGTTCTGGTTGCCACTTGAATATAATTTGCACAGAGTCCACAGAACGAAAAAAGAACAACAAACAAAGTACGGATATCTTCGGCAGGCCGAAGATTTAATGCTCTTGTAGACATTTGCCTTACGCCTTTGCAGATATGTGAGCATAGTGAAGCTCAGAAAGGCAGAGTTTGAGCAAAATATCTTGGAAAACAGAATATTTTGCATTACAAAAAGTTATTTCTAGACCGATTCCTTCTATAGATCTATAGAATATAGGATCATATAAATGCAGCATGGTTCAACTTCTAAATGCCGGATTTGATCAAGATATCTTGATAATTGTTCTTATTGTACATTTATGATATAGTGGCCCGATGTTTTTTGAATATATATATGAGAATCAACCTATCGTTCCTTTGGCAGCTATATGATATAGTGGACCGACCCGGCCATTTCTGGCTTACATATGCACTGCCTGTGCAGACAGACAGACTGACGGACATGGCTACATCAACTCGGCTGCTGATTCTGATCCAAAAAATATTTACTTTATGGGGTTCTCCTTCTATGCGTTACTCATTTCATGACCAAATTATAATACCCTCTAATATAGTGTATTAAGAAAAGCAGTTGTTTGTTGATTTTATTAGTGGATTTGTGGCTGTGTCCAGATTCAAGTCATGCTGCACCGGCGCATTTGGGATTGCAGACTGGGAGAAACGCACGTAGACCAGCTGGGAACGTCATATGAGCAACCAGGCATATGATCAGTTGTTGTTATCTTATCGGGATACATAATATACATATATGTGTTTAGGGTTAGTTGACAAGGGCGCGACTCGGCGGTTTCTATTTGCTGCGATAAGGTTTGACGCAATGCACTGCGAGTCAATTGAAATTTCGGTGCTGCGAAATATTTTTTGGCGGTATTTATAACGCTTACGACAGCGGGAAAGCCTCAGATTTGAGCTATGAATCAAGATTTACATTTCAAATTTCTTAAGCCAATGGCCTTTGTTAGCAAAACACTTAATGATAATTAGATATGAGTTAGTAAGACACAAAGAAGCATAAAACCTGTTCACCCGTTCATATATATATTACTGATAAGCTCTCAAGATAAGCAAAGAATTTTTATAAATTTTTATATGGGCTATAAAACTAAAGTACAAAGAATAAATATAAGTATTTATGGCACATTAAAGCGAAAGGCTTGAGTAGCCTTGCTTAACTATTTTTAGAGAAAGTGGAATCGTTTTCTTTATCCCTGTATATTTTTCTAAATTCTATTGAGTCCCCAAGATGTTGAGATCTTGGGATGAAGAATGCAAGGCGTTTATTTAGAACGTGTGCTCTGTATGTATATTCATTCCCTGCACAAAGCTTGCTACAGATGCCAGTTGGCTGTAATGGACAACATACTAAGTTTTAGGACTTCAGACCTGAGAACAGGGGCTTGGTAGTCCCACTTATCTGTACCCCTACCGCATCTAATATGGCCTCTTGTGTGCTGGCAGCATCCCTAGAAGGCTGCCTGTTCCACTCAGCTTGATCTGCTTCTCTTTGGCCCTGAGAGACGAGGCTTGCAAATCCTCCTCATGCAGCTCCCTCTTCTTTTGCTTAATAGATAATAGGCCGGAAGCCATAGACCATAGCTTGAAATAAGTTTTTTGACTGCTGTCGAGTGGGATTTCAACAAAGGGCATTTGAGCACCAAATTGTTGCTAACCTTGAGCTTCAGGCTCCTGGCGATCAACGCTTGTACAGAAAGTCTTCGCCCCATTCGCAAAGTGTAGTCATGTATATATATTGTGAGCACAAAGCTTATTTTTTTTCGGCGGCATTCTCATTCCTATTACTTATGTGCCAAGCTATACTCAAAGCTAACGCAGTGCTAACAAAAAGTGCTAAAATAAACTTAACAACGCAATGCTCCTAATCAATCATGCACAGTATTTCAGTTCGCCATTGATTAGCATGCTCCAAAGATGACTCAGTGGGTATATTTTCTAATGTTTGGCCACAGTAAACGCAGCCAGCTAAGCAACAAGAACTTGTACAATCAATAAAAAGATTCGGCTAATGGAGATTTGATTGATTTGCAATTAGCAGGCAAACGTATCACATGAGCGCACGTCCCACAGCTATGCCTAAAATCACATTCTAACCCAAAGCATTGACCTAATTGCAGGAGGCACAGCAGTATCAGCAACAGCAGCATCAGCAGCAACAACAGCAGCAGCAGCAGCAACAACAACAAAGAAGCGCGTTGCGTGCACCGGCACAGCACTGACCAGATTTCTGGTTTGCATGGCACCTGTGATTGGTAATACTCTACCTTTTGGCTTTATGAGCTGTTTTGTCTCTTTCATATTCATTCATGAAATACGCTTGATTATGTTGCTGGCAACATGCGTGTTTACAAACATTTCGCTGAGACTTTCCATTTGGCCCCACGCACCTCCATTTTTGCCACTTGTTCGACAGCCCATTAACAACATTAAGAAACGTTTTTATGTGCTCGCCTCGTCTTGTCATTGAATGCATTGTATATAGTTAAATATCCGTTCATATACATTTATATATATACATATATATATACATGTGTATATATATTTGTGTATACATATTTTATTTATACACATTCAGCGTGTTTTGTCTTGTGGCAAAATGTTTTTGCCTGCCTTTGCTTCAGTCTTCAACGTGATTTTCATCTATATATGTGCGTCCCACAGAGCGTATACGATATATTTTGTGTTCTTGTTTGATTTGAGATTCTGTTTGCTCTCTTCTCCCACGTTTTACTCTTTCTGCTGTTGTCTTCTGTCAACTGTCAACTGTCGTCGCGTGTTTCTCTTGTTATTGTTGTTATTTTCAGGTCGCATATGTTTTGGAACTAATCGTCAAATATGACGTAAAGGAAACTATTCATGTGTGTGTGTGTGTGTTTGTGTATGTTCTTAGCTGGCAATGTTGCCCTGAACTATATTTATAGGTACATAAATTTAAAATGCCAACAAGTCCAGTCAAGGTCATTATTTATTCAAGTATTCGTTTAAGTATTCATTCAAAGTATTCGTTTAACCATAAACCGTTTATTAAAATACACTTAAATTTAATTTTAAACATGCTCCGAGTAACGAGAAAATTGCGTTTGAAAGTCCAAGAGGAAAAACAATATTGCAGCCCAGATCAAGACCGAAATTGTGCAAAACCCCAACGATAATTGCAATAATTAAACGGCTTACAATAGACTCAGACAGTTGGGTTAGACAAACAAAATGCATTTGCGGCAACTGTGTCACAAATTTATTTTCAAACAAGCAAATTTGCAAAACAACACAACAAAAAATAGAATCAGTTCGCCGGGCTGGCAGAAAAATCAACATAACGCATACGCAATGTGTGCCAGTTTACGATCAGCCACCCCTTCAGGCGGATCCCCATGACTTGCGCTGCGTTGCGCAAAGATTTTTAGCAAGCAACTGTTAGCTTGGCGTTCTCAATACAAATTCTATATAATTAATATACATTTATATGGCATGTTAGGCATCCTGTATGGAAGCCTTGATGGCGCCCTGTGCGTTACGCTTAAATGATTCTAAATATAGAGAATCGAGCTAGGCGACCTTGGGCCTTGGGTTGGATCATGCAATCAGCCCCATAACCCCTTCAGCTTGGCCTGGTCTGCATCTCCCTATCTGGTCAGTAGTATGGAGGGGAGGGGAGGGGAGCGCAGGGCTTGTCTTACACGCTCTTCAGTGAGAGCAGCTACGTTAATGACAACGTTAAACGTCAAACGTGAAAAGTCGTCGTTGTTTTGTTTGCCTATTGCTTGTCGTAGTATTCCAAGCGCGATTAGACGTCGAACATGTGAAGCTCGAGAGGCGCTCGCTGAAACGCCTATCAATTTTATTATTTATATTTTTTGTTGTAATTATTTATTTTTATTTTTTTTGATTTGCAATTATTTATCTAACTTTACGTTGATTATGGTTTACATCTTTCTCAGCGTTGCTGGCAATTACGGTGAGTTATACGGCGGAGAGAGAGACCGGCTTCTTATTGATTCGATTCGCGTGCGTTATGCAATGCAATAAGTTCAGGGAACGCACAAATTAATCGAGTAATCAGCGGACGAGCTGTAATTGTGACCACTTTTTTTGTTGTTTTATTTTAATTGAAGTGCGAGTGCGTCTATTTTTAGCGTTTAGTTATATGCGCACGTGTTACGTATACGCCAGGTTGGACAGCTCAGACAATGCTCGAGTTCAAGCGAGTCGCTGCTCTTGAACTTGTCCCGTGTTTACAAATGGGAGCACTTTATTCGCTTGGCCCTGAGCATAAAATGTCAATTTTCATGGATGGAAATTTTTTTTTTTTTCATTTTTATTTTTATTTTTTTTTAAGAAAAGCAGTTCAACAAGCCATCCAACTGCAAATATATACCTACTCATAGCTAGCGACCATGTAAGCCAAGCATGTCAGTTACGCTCGAATTGTGTTGGGAACTTACGTATGTAGATACAAGATATAAGTACATATATAGATTTGCCTACAAATGAACTTACGTACAGAAGAGCTTGGCTAAGTCAAATACGAAAAATCGCAAATTGCAATATTTTTATTTGCTTTAAGTTTTCTATGATATCATGGCTCTCACTTTAGATAGTGACGAAACTAGCAATATTGTACCCACATTTGCATAATATTTCTAATGTACTATGGGTTCATCAGCGTTGTTCATGATGAACCAATCAGCCAGGCAAAAACAAATTAATTACTCAGTCTCTGTCTACGTCATTGTTGGACACCGCCGTCCATCTAGATATATATGTCTATATACAAATCTGTTCGCCTTTAAAGCGCCCCCATTCATAGAAAAAAAAAACCGAAAGGCGTAACGAAACAATTTAACAATTTAATTTCGTGGCTCTGTAATTTTATGTGATTACGTTAGACATCAGTAAAAACATATGTACCCAACAACGAGTGTATACAACATATACGATATGTATATTTAGGCAGGCATGAAAAACAAACAAGCGTCTATTGAATATCATACATAAAATTTAGACAGACAGACCATCCACGAGAATTGGGCACATCAAAAGATTAGAGCACCCAGCGTTTAAAGAAAAAAAGGGTATTTGGGAATGTGCATACAGGACAATTTATAAAGCTAAAGAGCTTTATTGGTCTGAATATTGGTACATTACAGAGTATTTGAGTTTTTCTCGCTTAACTAAAGAATCCCAAACATATTCCAAAATATTGTCAATATAAGTATGTATATCAGTATATAACAAAAGAGACGCCCAAATTGATTTAAGAATCCAGGTTAAAAAATAAAAATTTTTTCCTGCGCAGTTGAATAGAATAATTAAAAAAATTTTACGAAAAACTAGACATAGCGTAAGTTTAGATTATGTGCCGAAAAATGAGAACTTGTAAATATTACGATATTGTGATGAAAAGTAAGATTTTAAAGCTCTAATACTATTGATTTCTATTTCTGAAATGCATTACTAAACGCCGCTTTTAGGCTGAGTATTGGCATATTACAGGGTATTTAAGTGTACATAACAATGTTGTTTTTGTTGCTGCAACTAGTTGCGCTCTTATTATTTTGGAGCAACGCTAAATTAGCTGTAATTTGTGTGTGTGCTTAAATTGTAAACTGAAATTTGTTTACGAGTTAGTCTCGTACTCGATTTTCCAGTTTTGTGTCGGCTGCAAGTTCTTTAACGCGGCCCAAACAAAACAAAACTGAAATCGAACCAAACACAGACAGGCAAAAAGCCAAATTCGAATTGAGCGCAAAAGCCAAAACGAAGGCAAAGAGCAAGAAGGAAAAAAAATTAAAACAATTTCAAAAGCAATTTTTGTTAAGTATTGTATTTTAAAACCCAAGCAGTTGAGCATCAAAACTGCTCAGTTGCCTGCCAGGTTGGGGTCTCTCTGGGGCTTTTCACTTGATGCCAGTTGGCCCCGGACAATTTCAGTGCACGGCTCGCGTTCGCGAACAACGGCGTTGAAAAACAATTCGAAGACTGTGCAAAAATAATACAAATACAAATTAAAACTATAATTAACTAAATAAATTCGAACAATTTTATTTACATGTATTTTTTTTGCAAAACGAAAACGAACTAAAGAAATAAAACGAAACTTTCATCGCAAGTTGACCGAATGTGGTAAATATTAATTTAATTCGAAAAAGGAATTCTACAAATACGGATTTCGTAATTGCAGCATTTTCGAAACGTCTGCGAAACGCTTTCGAAAACGCCAAGTCAATTGCAAATAAGAAAAAAAATATAAAACAAAGAAAACTTAGTTTTTCTCTTGCAAATTATTCTCCACATATGTCTCGCCACATCTCTCACATCTTTCTCGCTGTGTCTCTGTTTTTGTGTATGCACATTTCTTGCTGTTTTGTGATGCGTCTTATGTAATTGTCAATTGTCGCGAATTGTTGTCGTCCGCAAGAGGTGCAACAAAAAAATGCCACGTTATTTTTAGCACCTGTTTCGTCTTTTGTTCGCCCCACATCACATTTAAATGTAAATAAATATCTGATGTGTCTTTCTCTCTTTGCCCCTTCCAACACATTGCAGTGTCGCTACCTGGCGCTGGAACTGGCCCCACTGAGCAGCCGACTATTTTACTGATCAACGGCGTCAGCGAGGACGCCCAGTTGCAGGAGAAACAAAAACAGACCAAAGCAGATCTAAAGCTATCGCTTGAGAATAACAACGAACCGGCCAGCGGCCTGACGCATCCCACACAGGCACAGGCACCGACTACGCCGGGCGGATCGCATTTGCTGGATTTGGAATCTCACCTCATCGAGGACGTCAACGCGGTGCTGAGCGGCGTGGGCATTAATGAGCTGCCGCCCATTGAGCAGGAGCTGCAGAAGGGCACATCCAAAATAGAAGCTGACGAGGCCTCGCACGTAATCGAGGTGGAGCCAGCGGGCGCCAAGACTAAGCAGCCAATAGAAACTCTCGCACCGTCGCATCAAATAGCCGAGGTAGACGAGACGGCAACGGCAGGCACAGTCGAAGCAGCTCCAGCAGCCGCAGCAGCAGCCGCATCAGCATCGGAGGCAGTACGTCATACTGCCGAGCAGCTGATAAATGAAATAGAACGCGAGCTAATCGAAAGCTTTAGCAAAAATGTAGCACAGGTCGAGGCGGAGCAGAAAAAACAGCTCGAAGCAGATCTTACAGCAGTCAACTCGCTCTCACAGCAGGTGGATGCCCAACTCAATGAGCTGACCAGCATACTCAAGAGCAAGCCACAGCCGAAAATTGTATTGGAGCAGGCTGGCGCGGAGGCAAAGCCAACAACGAAACTCGCCAGCAACGAGCTAAAGCTCGTCGAAGTGCCCACACCCAAGTCCGAGGCGGAGGAGCTGCAACGCAAGGAGTTCATCGATTCACTGCCACAAATCGGACAGGATCGCCTGGGTACACACACGGATGCGGAGGCCAAGCGTCTGTCAGCGGCCTGCAAGCGAGAGTATTACCAGTCGCTGAAGAAATATCTGCTGCAGAACAGCCAGGACAAGCCGCCTGTGCCGCTGCAAACCTATCGCTGGGAGGATCTTAGAAGAGCCAGAGAGCGCGTAAGTCTTACACTCCACATTAACCAAAGTGCTTCAACTATATTATATTTGCTTTCTCTTTGCAGGGCGGCTATCCTTGGACGCATCTGTACAAACGCCCATTGGGACCCGACGAAGAGCCGGAAATTGTATTGTTATTGCGCAAATCACAGGAACTGCGCTTTAAGTCCGAGTCGCCCAAGTCCCTGAAGAAGGTGCGCTACGACGAGCAAGTGCTGGTGAAAGAAACTGAGCGCTATATACAGGATCTGTCAGAGGACGAGGCGATAAGCCACACTGAAGAGAGCAGCGAGGAGTCCGAAGAGTCGGACAACGAATCGGAGCACGAGCCGCACAACGAGGACACGCTTAGCGAGTGTATCTCCTGTGTCTCTGACTCTGTGCTCGCAGTTGGAGGTCACGCGAGGCCAAGGAAAACCAATCGTCTGTCGCAGATACGTGACCTTATCAGACGCAGGCGCAGCGGACGCACACAGGGCGACGCACAATCTCTGCCCGGCAGCTCGGCCAATCCTAGCAGACAGGGTAGTCTGCACGAACTAGCGCCGCCGCCAGGACCTTTAGTTCCCAATACAGACAAACCACCCAAGAAGCCAAAGCAAAGTTTCGACATTATGAAGAAGCTCAAGAGCTTGGCGGAGCGCCAGAAGAAGCGTCTGAACATCAAACGTATTACGCTCAAGAAGGACGAGAAGATTGTCCTGGGTGAGCAGCAGAAGATCATGAAGTTAAAGGCGTCCCCAAAGTCGACTCGCGGCGAGATACCGCACTTTATAGAGAAGCAGGACTCGGATGATGTCCTAGAGCTGGTAGAGTACGATGAGTCACCCTGCCGTAAACGCAATAAGCAGGAGGAACAGGATGAGCTGCCTAGCACCAGTGCAGCCAGCGTGCCACAGCCAGACGAGATCATCGAGCTACCCGTCGAGCAAATCAAGACTGAAGCGCCCGCTGTGGAAATCACTGAGCCAGCTCCAGAGTCTGCAGAGGAGCCTATTGAGGTGAAGACGCCGCCCAAGAAAACGCCACGTCTGCGTCGTGAACATGTTTACGAGGAGATTGGACAGGCTGAGCCACAGCTGCCGTTGGAACAATCCATCGTAGAGCTAGACTCGCTCAAGAAATCGTTAACGCGTCAAGATCATCTGGCCGCCGATGACGTCGAAGCAGCCAAGCCTGTGCCACTGGATCGCATGGGCAGCAGCGAGGAGGATCAGGTGGCCGTTGCTGCTGCCGACAAATCTGGAGCTCTCTTGGCTCCAATCTCATCCATAGACTCCACTTCATCGGATGAGGATCGTGCACGTCTGGCCCAGCTCTCCCCCGTGGCCGAGGAAAGCGACGAGCCCGCGGAGGTCAGCGAATTGCGGCCGGTACTGAAGAAGGAAGCCTCGCCGGCACCCTCCGACAAGAAGGTGACCTTCTCTCACGTCGAAGATGAGGCCGAACCGCACCGTGAGGACATTGAGCTACCCGAAGATGTGCTGGAAGCGGTCACAAGTGCGGCCAAATCAAAGAGCGATAGGTAAGTGATGGGCTTGGTCCTTAAACGTATCCTGTGCATGACACTAACACACAGCACACCCAACACGCCGTCGGCTGTTGCTCATCCATCCGTCTTGCAGAAACTCTAACCTAATTGACTTGCTTTTGAAATTGTTACTAACCCTTCTGCCGGGAGTCGACGGCAATGGCGGCGGCAAACGGCGTCGCCTGCGCAGCTTCCGGTACACGCACCAAAAGCCATACTATCAAGATTACCACTACACAGACCACAACACAGACACCTCCTCACACAGCACCGGGCGATCTGCTCGACCCTCGGGCACCTGGACGCTATGCTGCTGCTGCAGCAGAGGCGCCACTAAGAAATATTGGTAATGGGTTGCACGGAGACGGCTCTTAAGTATTAACATGATATTGACCCAAGGTAAGAACAGATATAAATGGGGAAACTGTAAGTGTCTGTCCCACGTTTATGTGATGTCCCCCCCATAGAAAACGGTGTTGGTAAATATGACAAATCATTCGTGAATTGGTTAACAGCACAAGTTGAAGAACTAGTTCACAATAAAACTATTTTGTTTTAAATCAAGCTAATACATGTATGTAGCCTCACTAGCTGCATTGGCCTGACTCGTATATCATTGGTGCACTTTGGAACTAATTCAATGAACTAACTTAATTTAAAGACAAAGAATTGAATTGTGGAACTGGTTCGGAAAATAACTTTAACTTGGTTTGGTCATCAAAAATTAGCTGGAACTAGTTCCAGCATATTCTTTGGGTTTAACTCAATCGAAACTAATTGATTGAACGCTGCTGTGGCATGAACATTGACCTGACTCGTGGTGAACTGTGGAACTAGTTCAATGAACTAGCTCAGTTTAAATACAAGGAATTAAATTGTGGAACTGGTTCAGCAAATAACTTTAGCTTGGTTTGGTCATTAAATATCAGCTGAAACTAGTTCCAGCATAATCTTTGGGCTTAACTCAATCGAAACTAATTGAATGAACGCTGCTGTGGCATGAACTTACAAGCAACACATTCAAATTCAAACGTCTTAAAGGTCAGCGAATGACAAGAAGATTTCCGGCAGGCGGCGACGCATTGCTCGAAATAGAAGCACTAAGTGCAGGCCAAAAGCAAATTGTTACTCCTGCTGCTCGACCACATCCCAATTATGAACAAGCAGCGACGACTGCGTCGCCGTCGCCGTTGCCGTCGCAGTCAACAAATACGTTGGGATGGTTTAAATGAGGAAATTAAGACAAATACAAATTCAATTCATGTTGCCATTGTCTCTGTGTGCGTGCGTGTATGTTAGTGTGCCTTTTGCTAATTTTAAAGAACAACATTTTCATCTTTCGACAAAAATTTCGTAAAATTTGTGTCGCGCAAAATGAAAAGCTCTCAGTCCTGGCCGAAAATCGCAACGATGTAGACACGCCGCGCGCAACCACAACGGGCCCCAGTGCAAATATAGAGCAAGAGTTTTAAATAACACTCAGAGAGGTTCGAAACCTCAAGACTAGACCATTAATTAGACATTTGTGCTGGAAGAGCATTTGAGAGAAGGCTGAAAGAAAGAAATAACTGAGACTCAAACCGAGGCGCAGGCAAATGCAAAGCTCTTTTGCAAGAATTTTCAGTAGTGCGAAAAATAAAAATTAAATTAAGAAAAAAAAGAAAGCAAAATTATAAATTCAATGTCCAATCGCGACGGCGGCGGCTGCTTTGGTGATGCTTAAAAATAGCCAACGACCACGAACCACAAAACGACAACGAAACTAAGACGAACAAAAGCGAAAAGACAACAACAAAAAAAACAACAACAACAACGAGCAGCAATAGAAGAACGTCCGGCGTGAACGGATTACGACCAGGGCCAAGTAAATAGGCAAAGCTGCAGCTGCTCATCTCATCCGATGCTCAATTCGAAGCGCTCGGCCTCGGTGGGCGCTCTGCCCGCTGAGAAGAAGCATTTTGTGTCGCGTGTGGAGAGCGCCAGTGGCGCCTCTTTGGATGTGCGCTGCGCCTGTCAGTTCTTCCAGTGCGACTCCCTGCTGCCGGAGCGCGTGAATCCCGTGGATTCGCGTCCCGGCTCTAGGCAGGGTCAGCACAGCGATGAGCAATATCATCTGCAGCGGGATGATCTGTCCATGCACAGCTTCGAGGTGATTAGCCATGCAGATGTGGCGCCTTCGGTGGACTTGAGCTTCATGGAACGCTATCCGGAGCTGGAGCAAACGGCGCGTTCGCGTGGCTTGGTCGTGCGCAGCATCTCGGATGCTACGGAGCCGGATTTACCGGGCAGCCAAGGTGCTCTGGTGGCTGGACGGCGTCGTCAGCTGTCGATAGGCGGCCTGTCCTCGGGCAGCGTTGGACGCTTCGGCGATACCCTGTCCATGCGCAGTGGCACCTCCTTGCGTCGCATCTCGGCGGGCAACTCCAAGACGGATCTGTATTGTGCGGATATTAATATACCCACGCCCATGGGCCGCACAGCGGGAGGTCAACGATCCGCCAGCGCCAGTCGACGCACTTCCAATGCGGATCTGTTCCAGGCCAGCATATTGCCGGGCTCAATGCAGCCGCCGCAGTTGAATCTGATTGCCGCCACGCCCACTCCTGGAATGTCAGACATCGCACCACAATTTCACAGTCATCAATCCTCGCCAGCGCCAGCGACTCACGACTTTCGTAATGCCAAACCGCCTTTGTCGCCGGATTACATGCGTCCCAGTGCTGCCAACAAGGAAAATCAGTATCCGGGCGCAACGCTGCCTCAGAACCGGCCCATTGACGTTTCGCGCTTTGGCTGCGATGCAGTGCGTCCTTCGTTCCTCCTGGAGTCGGATTTAAAGCCGCAGCTAAATCCTTATCAGCCCACGGTCTCACCCATGGATCCACTAGCCGAAACTGTGGCCGAACTGGAGCAGCTTGCCCAGGAGCATAATCTTGTGAATATCAGGGACAACATCCAAACGCAGACCAGACGCCCACCGTCCATTGGCAGCGAGATGAGCGCCAAGCCACTTCAGGTGGATGAGCTGACCAAGATTGAGATTGTGCGTGATATACCCGTGGTGGACATCGATGCACTGGTGCAGGGCGAGGAGCTGAAGGCGGTCGAGCATCGCAGTCGCAGTCCCAGACCCACAAGACGTGCCAAGTCGCCGCCGCCACAGCCACCGCAAGCTCCGGCAGCGATGGCCACGCTGCAGCTGCCATCAAATCGACCATCTTGTCCAACTAGCTCGTCGCCAGCTGCAGCCACAGCTTCAGCTCCAGCTGCAGATCAACAGCTCAAGCGCCATCACACACCCGAACGTCAGCTGTCGCCGGAGCGTGCCTCCAAGTGGCAGCCGATGTCTAGCTCACCGCCGGCTACTATTGTGGGCGCCATTAATCTACAAGAGGCCTCACCCGAGGTGAAGAGTACCTATGCTTCGCGCTTCAAGTCCATGTTCAGCTCGAAGCCGCAAGAGCCGCGCCAGAAATCTCCTACTCCTCAACGCTCGCGTTCACCCTCGCCCTTTGTGGAGCAATCCCACTCACCCCATCGGGAGAAGTCTCCCTCGCCCAGCAAGCTGCTCTCTGTATTTTCCAAGGGCAAACCCCAGGCCATGTCCATTGTCAACAGCTCGGCGTCCGTGATGAAGCGCCAGGAAGCCGAGCCCCTTTCCGTACGTGTTACGGAGACCTTCTCGCTGAAAGTGGACGACATGGATCAGTACAGCGCGCGTCCAGCCAAGCCATTGGCACCACCACCGCATGCCCAGACCATGTACAGCAGCCGGGAGGACTTTGCCGCTTCGGAGCGTGCCTCGGTGGACATAAGCGACGCTTTCGCGCCGGTGGTGGTATCCGCAGTGCCGAGGGGCACCATCAGTAGCATTGGCGGCGCCAGTTTTATAGCGGGCAACAGAAATCTCTATTCCAGCGAGATTGAGATGCCCGGCATGAGTTGGTCGCAGAGTGAGTCCGAGTTTCGGCATTCGAGCAGCAAGGATCCCTCGATTGTCAGCCACGGCAGTCGCCCGCTGATTTCCGTGCCCATTCAGATAACGGGCAGTGGCAGTCAGGTGTATCGACCGTTGCGTGCGCCATCGGAGCAACGCTTTGGCCTGCAAAGCAAATCCTCGTTTAGGGAGCCACGCACACAGTCCCATGATCGCGGTAGCCGCTTGACCGGCTCCCAAGAACAGCTCTATGGGTCGTCGGCTCGCATGACAAAGACGGTTAGTTTCAATTTTGATGAGCGTAGATCGCGTCTAGCGGAATTTGAGTCCGTCGATTCGCCCCTAACCCAAAAGCATAAAGAACACAGAGACTTCCTCGAGCGGACCTATTTCTCTCGGTAAGCAACAGCTACCCCACTTTCGGTTTAGACCGAAACCGAAACCCCCGCCGCCCCTCCCCCAGACACACACATCCACCCAGGCATTCCAACTAGCTATGAGATCAGGGTGACGGCTTATCTAATCTTGGCTTACAACAACTACAAACCACATGCACGACCGTTCCGATCAGCTCATATATATGTCAGCCATCATCTCTATTCAGCTAAACGATTAATCTCTTCACCTCCTTCTTTTTGCAGTGATCATGAATACGAGCCCGTGGGCATGTCGCCGGCGCGCGAAATCGCATATTCGCAGGCAGCAGCGCCGTCGGCCGCCCAAAACGGCAGCAGCCTCCAGCTACCCATGGACATTGACATTGAGCAGAGCTCAGCTGGGACAACGCCACGCACCGAATCTCGCACGGACTATGAAATACACACCAGCCAGGTGGATTCGAGCGCCCTTGAGGAGCTGCCACTACAACCGGAGAATCGCAAAAAGAGTTTCATGGCCTCCGCCCAAGATCGCACGCGCAAGATGCAGGATGGTCTACGGAATCAGGCCGGCAAGCTGCGCACAAAGTTGCGCACGCAGCCCAAGCCGAAACCCGTTTCGGGCAGCCCCAAGGCTAAGGCCAAGGAGCGCAGACGCTTTGCGCCCGAATTCTCGAAAATCAAGATGCCCGAAATAAAGCGGCCCGACATGTCCAAGCTGAAGGACCTTAAGCGACCGGAATTTACCAAGTTTAACAAGCCCGACATGTCCAAGTTTAAGTTGCCAGAGAAATTCTCCACGCTTAAGCTGCGACGCAGCAAGAGCTTTAAGGAAAACGAGTCCGAGCTGCCCACAGAGTCCACGGAGTCGCCGGCCACAACGGCTGATGTGCCGCCCGCGCCAGCAAAGAAAAAGTTCGAGTTCAACTTCGGCACCTATCCGCGAGCTTTTCGCAAGAAGAAGCCAGTCGAGGAGCCGGTACCGCCCATGGAGTCCTCGCTGGGCACAGAGCGTCTCAGTCTTAGTGTGATACCCAGCACTGAGACGCAGCCCTCTCAAACATCCACCAGCTCACCGCAGGGTGACCGTGGACCGGGTCCAGTGCGTTCCCGCTGGGCGGACAAGTTCTCCGATGTGAGCTACAATGATAGCGAAGGCTCGCGCTACAGGCGTTACGGCAGCGAGCTGGAGAGCTTCGATAGGGAATCCTCGCTAGAACGACGCATGAAGGAGGATTTGGAGGAGGACACGGCCAGCGAGGCGCAGCCACAAACTCAGATGGGCATCTTGAGTGGCGTTGCGGATAGCAAACAGTTTGCCGAATTTGATGAGGAAAATCGTGCCATACACGAGATCTCCAGCCAGCGAACCAGGGAGTTCAAGCGCCGACCCATGGTGCACCAGGACTCAGACCTACGCTCCGAGGACAGTCACGATGCAGAGGGCTGGACGGAGAAGGACATACAGAAGAATAAGCTCTTGCGCAAGGCCGAACTGGACGCCGAGGCCAGCTACTACAAATACCACGAGATGCAGGATGCCCATTCTACAGCCAGCTCCGGCAAGAAGGTCGTCATGGAGCAGATCGATGATGACGAGTTCTTTTTGCGCAAACGTGGCATCTCCGAGGACAACATCCAATTGCGTCAATACATAAGCGATGCCATTCGCGAGGGCTACGAACTGCCCAACGCCCTAAGGCACGTTGGCCAGCCGGCCAAACCGGATAGCGAGCAGACCGAGCAGTACGGCGATTACGATGTGCCGCCGCCCAAGCCGCGCCGCCTGCACCGCAACTATCGTCCAGACATTGAGGATTCACAGGAGTTCCAGCGCAGCGACTATGGCGATGATTTGTCCATGTCGCAGAATGGCAGCGACTTTTTGCCCAAACGACCGCTGCGCAAGGGGCGCAGTCGCAGCAAATACTCCATGGAGGGCAGCCAGGAAATACCCTTGGCCGATGGCGGCAGCAGCATACAGTACTTTGACGACGACGAGGATTATCTCAGACCGCCCATGCACGAGCAGGCAACCGAGTCGGAGCAGGCACTAAACAATCTCAACTATGGTGGCGACGTTGTCGTGACAGCACCCAAGCTGCCAGCTCAACAGAGCCGACCACAAGCGCCCAGACGCCAAAAGAAACGCACACGCGACGATGCTTCCGTTGAAAAGGACGCAGATTCGTTTATCAATGGCTTTGGTGGTAGATCAGTATCGAACACCTTTTTGCAGCCACAGGAAGATGTAAGTACAAGCTGACAATCAATTTAAGGGGCGGGGAGATAGCATTTAGGTGCTCTTCAGCAGAAGCCTAAGTTATTCATATGGGAAATGAAATATTGATCAACTGTTTGGAAGTAAATGATATAGTAGTCCGATGTTCATAGGTGTTAAAAAGTTAATAATGCTCCTAATTGGTAGGTCATGGTCAGATATATCAAAGAATGAAGAACCTACTTGTATTCAAAGATATTATGTTCCATCGATTTCTCTAAAAGGGATCTATATAATATTTAAGATTGATATTGATAAGATATTGACCAAGTGTTGGGAGCATAGTTAGACTAAAGTAGATACGATTAGGATCTCAATAACAAAAATGTATTTTGTACAAGACTCAATTTTTGAGCAATAGAATTATCATACTTCCGACTCCGACATATGTACTGCCTAAGTAATGGTGAGATATCAAAAACCTCTTTTTATTCCCAGATTTTATTCTCCATCGATTTCTCCAATGGGATCTATATAATATTGACGATCGATTTATAGGATTTACGATCTGTTAGGATTTTTTCAATCTTTTCAAAAAAGTATTTCTAACAAAAACTCAACATTTGAGCAATAATTCCAATACACCTATGTGGAATAGTGGTATAATTCGTCAGACTCTGACATATGTTCTGTCTAAACAAAAAACTAAAAGAAGTTTCACTAAGGTAGCTTCTAAGCTGAGTGACTAGTTTCCATAGTAATAGTCAGACAAGCAGATGGATGTCTCAATCTAGGGTATTGGAAATACCGTCTTAAAAGTTGTACATTTTGTGAGTGCATTTTTAGTAGTGTGCGAGTACAAGTGTGCACAATTTCTATTACACAAATGTGAAATGGATTGATGCCAATGAATTTTTGGTGGTATTTGGCTTTGAGCCTATTATGTGCACCTTTATACACGACTACATATACGATACGGCTTATTCCCAGGTAATTGTTTATCGCACTGAGCACGAATATCATCATCATATACCGCTAGCCACGCCCGACACCTTTACGGACGGCACCTCGGCGCGCACTCAGCGCTCCGAGGATGAGCGCACCTCACGCGGCGCCGAATCGCTGATTCTCGATGTGCACGCCAAACCGGAGCTGCAGAGCAAAGTGTCTGCGCCAAGAACTGAGGGCGAGGAGAAGTTTGTCATCGATATGCTGGAGAGCGATGGGTGAGTACGGGTCGCATTAGGTCTCAGGTGGCCAAATTGTTGCTTAGGTGTGCGCTCTGCTTTCCCCACTGTAGCTATGCCGTGGTGCGCAAGGAGCCGGTGCCAAAGCCGACGCCACCCGCGCGCCGCAAGAAGTTCACGCGCTCGCCGGGCGAACGTTTTGCCACGTTGCCCAGCATACGCGGCTCGCGTGGCTCTCCGCCGCCGGCACGCCCACCGCCGCCGCAGGAGTACACGCCCAGCGAGGACTCGCCACTGCCGCCGCGTCGCAGATCGGCCGCCAGTCTGGAGGAGATGTCCACTGGCCTGCTGCTCAAGTCAAAGTAAGAACAGCCGCTGCGCCCGCCGCTTGCGTTGCAAGTTGTTTCTTTCGATTTTAATTTTTTCTGATTTGTGACTTTTTGCGACCTTTTGAATTGTCTCGAATGCATTTTTGTTAAGTTTTGTTTTTGTTGTTAAGTTGTAGGCTTAAGCGTCATAAGCTAAGACCCAGTTTTAATGCTAAATGCTGCTCCTAAAACCAAGATACACCCAATATACACACACACACACACACATAGACATAGACATAAACACTAATAAAACCGAAACATGAAACACAACGCACTCACACGAGTTTGACCAGCTTTTATTTTCCTTCTGTTCGATTGCCGCTTGCCCAGACAGAGTCCAGACCAAGCGTTTCTAATGCTCCTTAAACCCTATTCCCTAGCTACGCGACACTGCCGTCCGCACAGACGGATCGGGAGCAGCCGCCGCAACTGGAGGAGGAGGATGATTATGAGGAGCCGGGAGCACTGCAGCGGCCAGAATCGCCGCGCAACAATCTGCAGTCCGGCGAGGTCATCAACAAAATGAAGTTCCGACCGCTGCCACCGCCGCCACGTCCACCGCGCGAAAAGCGTTCGACACGTGGCGGCAGCGCCTTGGATAGCTACGAGGACAGCGAGCGCGTGGCTAGCTCCTCCACGGCAGACAGTTGCGAGCAGGGCGAGTTCGAAGTGGAAGTATCCACACAAACGGATCCACTACCAGATGACTTTGTGTGCGAGGAGTTTGAGATAACCGAGGACATGAAGGTCATAGAGCCTCGTCGCTCCACAGGCGGCAAGACGACGCTGGAGGATCTGCTGCGCAGCACGCAGGCCCAGGAACCAGATGAGGTGGACAGCTCACGTGTGCTCAGCGTGGATGAGCAGCTAGCCAAGGGACTGCAACGTTTTCGCGATGCTAATCAACGCAGCCTGTCGGAACGCTCACGTGCATCCTCTCAAGCGGACCGCTCCAAGTCGCTGAGTCGCCCGCAGACTCCGTCCTCAGCGGTAATCTTAGAGCGACGCGTACCCACACCAAGTATCGAGGGAGATGCCACGGTGCAAGCGGCGCTAATTGTTCGTCCCATAAGCGCCGCCGATCTGGAGGATGAGGAACTGCGCCGCGAGGAGGAGGAGCTGAGGCGTGAGGGCCTGCTCTCCGATAGCTCAGTGCAAAGCAAGTCCGATGTGGAAACGGCCGGTGAGGAGGAGGAGCATGGCGAGGTTGCTCTCAGCGATTACGCAGCCAGTTCGGCGGATTTGGATGCAGCCGTGGAGCAACTGCAGCAGGCGCAGCTGGAGAGTGACTACGACAGCAAGCTGGAGGATGATGAAGTCGAGCGTACGCTCCGAGATAGCGAGTACGACGAAGAGGATGAGAACGCTGGCGAGAAGTACTCGGACCACTACGACGAGGAAGAAGGCTCGCAAGGTAAACAAGAATCTACAGAGCAGGAGGTGGATGAAGAGCTGGAGAAAGAGCTGCAAGAGGAAATGGAAAAAATGCTGGCAGAGTATCGCCAAGCTGAAATTGCGGAATCGAGAGCAAAGGCGCTCGCAGAAGAGCTGCCAACATCCGAAGAAGACCACGTACTTTCCGAAGAGGACATATTGTCTGATACGGAGCAGGTGCTATCCGAAGTGGAGCAAGTACTATCCGAAGCGCAGCACGCACTATCCGAATTGGAACCTGCACTATCCAAAGTGGAGCACGCCTTATCCGAAGGGAAACCGCCGCATACCGAAAAAACCGCAGTGGAAGAGGTGCCCATCAGGAGGGCCGTTGCGCACGAACCCACAGAGGCCGAAGTTGATGCCAAATTCGTAGCCACTTTACCCACCGAGCCTGCTACCGACCACAGCCAAGAGTTGCTGGCGTCAGAGGAAGAACCAGAGGCGACACCCTTGCCGCCACCACGTCGTAAGTCCACCACACAGCTAGAACCGGCTTCCAGCGAAACATTGACCATCGCAGAGCAGATCATACCTGAGCTGACACCCGTTCGGTCGCTGCAATCCCCACCAGAAGCGCAGCTGCCGACCCACTTGCCGGAATTGGAGGTGGACCGCCTGCGGGTGCACGCACTCCAGGCTGGGCAGATTCAAGTCTCGCAGCTACATGGCACTCAAGTCAGCGCCGATGAGCTGGCCTGCAAATCGGGTCAACTGGTGGTGCAGAACATAAATCTGCCACCAGGCTTCATTGATGACATTGTGGAGCGCGTCAAGGAGCAGCGCCCATCGCTGCTGACCAGTGAGACGCAGACGAGCCGTCAGCCCAGCAGTGAACCCACCGCTAGCGATGTGGAGCCACCCACCAAACCACCACGCCATGGCAAAGCCGCTGAGTCAACGACTGCAGCAAACCAGAGCAATCTCGACGAGCAAACGCAGACAGAAGCCGCCATGCTGCCATTGCCGCCACCACCAGCTGTGTATCCCAGCGTAGAGTATTTGCAATCCCTGGCTCCTTTGGCCTTTTACAATTTGCAACGCAGTGCCGAAGCTGAACAGGCGGAAACTGCGTCTGCAAGTGCGGAGCGCAAGGCGCCGCATAAATGCCGACGTCGCCATGTGCAGCAAGAGCAGCATCAGCAGGAGCATGACTCCGACTCAGAGCTTGATGAGCAGCTGGTGGAACGGCCACGTTCACGAACCCGTCGTTCGCGCACCCGCAGCGCCACACAGCCGCTAGAGGATTATGACGAAGATCAGCCCAAGACAGTCGTGCAGGCGGGTCGACAGTTTCTCTCCGTTTGCAGTCTGGAGCTGGTCAACATTATCAATCAGCTGACCCACTTTGTGCGCGGCGATGCGGCAGTGGAACCGGCACAACAGCCCAGAAATATATCTGCGCTCATGGTGCTTTTTATATTGATAACTTTTGGTGTGCTCGTCTTTCTGCTGACGGGCCGCCAGGTGCACACACATCACTGGGACTACTTCAATCCGCCTGGCAACGAAGGCAGGCAAACGTGAAAAGAGCTCCCCAAACTTTGGACTTTTGTTGCTTGGCATTTGTATGCCAAATGATACTTGGGCAATTTTGCATTTTGGAGCATGAAACGAATTTAGAAAGCGGCCAAAAGCGACCGCTCGAAACCAAAGGCCTTAACCTTAATGATATATTCTACATACTAACACAAAATACTTTAGGAAGAAAGCAAAGTGGGCGAGAGGCGTTGCCTGTGCTACTACTAGTCGCAGTTTAACAACTAATCAATCGAACAACAACAGTCAATCAATCCCAGTTCAGACATCATCAAACAGTGCGACAACATACCGACTTATATAGAACATACACATATATCTCATACTAATCGAACAATTCAACAAAAATATCATGTTTTTTTTACAATACTACCAACAACAGCAACAATAACAACGATCATGTATTAAATATGTACTTAAACTAAGTGAAGAATCATAGCTACCTGATATGGTGAGCGGTCCAAGACGGGCTCAAGTTTGTTGGCGGACACACAGTCTACTTATTTATGCTAATATTACAATTTTGTTCGCTCATTTTTCTATTTTTGCAACACAAAGTGAAGAAATTCAATTGTTCAATGCTTAAAAAATCGATTGTTGGTTTTTTATTTAAACCTGATTTTAGGTAAAATATATAAAAGATGAATCGTTTAACTTGTCATGAATTCATAAAAGCACGTTTTCTTTGATTTAGAAGTAATAATTTTGAACCGCGAGTACTTAGCAACAGTGTGAACTTATGTAAGTACATTATATATACTTATAGACGCGTATTTTCAATAAAGCAAGAAACTATTTAAACATATTTGTTTTATGAATGGGTAAATGAACTTACGACTTACCTAATTGTAAAGTGAAATGATAGAAATGATGAGGCAAAAGTTACTTAAATACGCATGCGACTAATCTAAATGGGTTTACATCAAGAAATCATCATTATATTGAACCATTTGGCGCAGATCTTTGTGACTGCCCTTCTGCGATTTGCTGGCCGCTGCAAAAGAGAATAAATTGTCAATAAATTCGAGTAGATCGTATAACTAATTATAATAAAATTGTATATATAATTTTACCAATAGAGGACCAAACCGCTGAGGACGACGCATCGTTAATTGGTTCAATTTGCGGCTGGCGACGTGCCAGCTGCACTTGCAGGACAATGCCAGTGACGCTCTTGCCGTGCATTTCGGCAATAGCTCGATCTGCTGATTCCGGCTTGGCGAACGAAACAAAGCCTCGGCTGCAAAGCACATGAAGATATTAATATATATATATTTACTAGCAAATATAATTCAACCACGCACCTCTTTTCGATCTCCATCGAAACGTTGACTATGGTGCCGTAATCATTGAACGTTTTCTTGAGGAAATCCTCCGTAACCTTGTTGCCCGACACGAAAATCGTGTTGCCAGCGCGAGGTTTCTCCGGCTGTGTGGTATCTAGCGTCACCTTCTCTGTCAGCCCACGTTCTTCGCGGTCACGTTCCGTCGCAAAGTGCTGATACAAATTCTGGCGGCGTGGCTCCTCTTTTATGATTTCACTGATTATGGTTTCCTGTGCCACATCGTTCTGTGTGGACGAGAATGGCTGGTACGCAGCAACGCTTGTCTCTGAGGTGGAGCGTTTGGCGCGCTCCTGGCCCTTGGGGCGCTTAAATGAGGTCTGGTCCTGCTTGGTCTGTTGCTTTTGTATGGCGGGAATAGCGCCGCTTTTGATTAGCTTGCGTGCCACTTCCCGTGCATCACGCGCATCCGTGGGTCGCTTCAATGTCAGGGCGCTTTCCGGCTCTTGTTTGGGCGCTTTGTGGGCTTGTAAAGCTTTTTTCTAAAAAATGAAAATATATAGTTATAAGGAATGTACTAAGAGACGCCGGTTTGGCCAGAGTGTCCACCTTTTTCTTCAGTTTTTGATATTTCGCTTGCAGCATATGCTCCTCTTCAGTTAGATTGTTTGGAAAGTGTATGTACACCATTATGTGCAGTTCTCAGTCAATATGACTCACTATTTTTTGTTTATTTAGCAAATATTCTTAAATATCTTAAAACTTTGTAATTTTTCGTCACTTTAGCACTTTAATGATGCCAGATTACAGCAAATATGTTTAACATATTAGCGTTGCCAGACCATCACAATCATGTGTTATGGCGGTCAGTAATAAGTTAACATTATGTTATGTTATTGAAAATAAATGTTGTGTATTTGTTTAGTTTAGCGCTTCTTCTTTTTTAACGAGGAAAATTGAAATTATAGATTTTAATAAGTCCAGCTTTCTAATATTGTTTTCCATAAACTTATTTTGGCAATTTGAAAATCAAACTAGTCTGTTAAGCATAGCAGAACTGTAAATGAAACTTTTAACAGTGCTGTAAAATGAAGTCAAATTGCAACCCTGTTTAGTGCACACTTTTCGCCATGTTGACGCAGAGCTGTCAAAAGTTTTGCGTTCCTTCTCTTTCTTTCCGGTTAGCGTCATGGTAAGATCCCACCAAATATTTTCCTCATTTGGGTGAAAAATGTGAAAATTAAAAGGTTTAAAGTGCGCATGCTGAATTAAGCAATGCAAATGATTTTCTTGGAAGCCGTGTTTAGTTGCCGCTAACAAAAACAATCAAAATAATTGTGTTTGTGTCTGAACAGAATGCCTTAAAAATATTTCACGTGGTGACCACAAGTTCAGTTAGCAGGCGGCCAACGCGCTGTCCATGTGTACATACAAAACGAAAAGTTAAATTGTTATTTATGTATATAAGGTCTTAATTTCGTGTACTTGCAGCCTTTCGAGAGATTCGTACAAACTGGTCGCATCGCCAAGGCCTCGGCGGGACCCCTGAAGGGTCGCCTGGTGACCATTGTCGACGTCATTGACCAAAACAGAGTAAGTGGCTCCACCTATAGAGGAGTAGCAGCAACAAGCATGTGTTCGCACCAAGCAGCAGATGCACATGATGATAATTTGTCTTCTTGATAGGAAGTGCCAACTGACACATAAATGAAGCTATCTTTTTTAACTGAAAGAGCACTGCCTGCCCATAAGCGTTAAACACTGGTTGTTGCTGTTCACCAAATATAGTGAAATAGAACTAATCTATATTCACATATTGCAGGTTTTGGTTGATGGTCCGCTGACTGGTGTTCCGCGTCAGGAATACAGATTGAACAATCTGCATCTGACCAAATACCGCATCAAATTCCCATACACTGCGCCCACACGCATTGTGCGCAAGGCCTGGGTTGACAGTGACCTGAAGGCACAGTGGAAGGTCAGCCCCTGGTCCGTCAAGGCACAGAACATCTGCAAGGTGAGCATATATCGAAGAAACACTTCTTGTTTGAAGTGCTGCACATGATGATAATTGAAAGTTCTTGATAGGAATTGCCGGCTGATACATACATGAAGCTAGCTTATATTTTAACTGAAATCCCAGCCTAAACTCTGAACTTTACAAATTGTTTATGTTTCTAGTTACTAAACATAATTATATTTATATTCTTACAGCGCTCGCAATTGAACGACTTTGATCGCTTCAAGCTGCGCTATGCCAAGCGCCAGCGCAACAAGCTGCTGACCATTGCCTTCAACACACTGAAGAAGCGCACCAAGTCCGATGGCACACCACGCATCCTCAAGAAGGATCGTCGCGAGCGTCTGCGCGCTGAGAAAGCCAAGGCCAAGAAGTAAACAACACATTAAAAGAAAGTAACTGCTTGATGAACATCCAACAAAAAGGAGCAAATAAAAGAAGTGTTATTTTTAGGAAAAACACACGCATCCCCATTTTTTTACTCTTCAGCAGAAGAATTTCTAGTTACAGTTTTTAACAGTTTTATTTGCTTTTAAAAAACAAAACGCTTTTTTAGTTTGCAATTTTTGCAAACGTTAGCAACTAGCACCATTCCCTCAGGAGTCTTTCTTGCAGTAAATGGTCTTCCAATTGTTGGGATGATTATAGCCCAGAAGAATAGGTAGATGTAGAAACAGTGTGATATGCTCTCCTTGTATTAACGTGGAGACCTTCACCCAGTTGCGTAGCCACTCGATCATCTGCTCGGCGTTCAGATTGTCCGGATTGAGGCCGCGCAGATAGCATGAGTAGCGCAACGCCGACAAGCTTAAATTATGGACGCCACCTTCGCGTGTAATGGCCAAATCCATGTAGTGCACCAGGAATGCGTGCTCGTGCAAGCGATGCCTTTTAAACAGGCTATTGGGCAGTCCATGCATCTTGACTAGACATTTCTACGAGGAAGATTTGCGTTTAAACAAAAATTACAAGCTGGGGAAGCATATGCCACATACAACGTGTTTTCGCGACATGCCCAGCAGTGAGTAAGGTCCCTCGGCGAATATGTCCTTGACTGCGATTAGAGCCTCTGGCGAGGGATGTGTACCGCTGCCCAGTTGACCTAGAATGCACTCGAACTCTGCATGCTTATGATGTCCCGCGACAGACTTCAGTTTGGCCTGCAGGCAGCGCAGCACAGATTTGTTACACTGCAGTCTGCGTTTCATGAAGTAGCTCGGGAACTCGATGCGCTGCTGTGGCGTCCAGAAGTGCGCCGTGAGAAATGTGCGTGGATAATAAAAGCTGAACAGGATTAAGCACAATTATTTGTCCAACTGGGAAAAACTCATCGACTTACACCAGCGGAAAGAAAGCGTAGCCTACCATGGGCAGTGAGCAGCCAATCAATGCCGGCGCCACCTTCATCATGTCGCGGGGCATTTGCATGTACAGCTCGAGTTCTTGGCGATTCAATGCCCGGATGCCTTGTGGCGAATCGTTGGCAATGCGCGCCACCTTAAGGAAACGCTTCATGTCCGCGAAAAAGTCTTTGACGCCATCGAAGAATGCTCGATAGAGCTGCATAGCCTTTGGAAAGTTCTTCTCCAGCACTTTGTCATAGTTTTTGACATAGTTAAAGTAGCGCGCGAAGATGTAATCCTGCATATCGTCCCGCATCTGCTCGCGCTTCGATTTTTGTGGCTCCCGATCCTTGTCCTTATTTCTATCCGAGTCGTCGCCGGGCGTAGATTCAGTGCGCGTTGATGTGTCAGATGTTGTTCCAGTCTTTGGCTGCGACCCTTTGGCATTTTTTTCATCCCAGCCCGCCTCGTAAATGACCTTGCCAACGCTGGTTATCTCAGCGGCTACATTACGCTTGATTTGTGGCGGAGTCGTGTCCATTGGCTTTGGAGCCGACATTTTGGGTTGTTCTTGTGTGCTGTAATTCGATTTCTGTCCGCTATCGCTGTTGGTAAATGAGTTTTTAATGCCGGCCGATAATTGACGTCGTCGTGACGCCGCCGCACTTACCTGCCCGGGAGCCGCGATGTGCTGCACAGTCGCACCAATCGACGGCGCTCCTGTGGCCACCTGCTCCAATGGCCCCTGCATGCCACACGCAATGCCAACGCCATTATGCGACAATTCCAACCTTATACACCCACAAGCGAGCGTAATTACGCAACGACTGCAACTCCGATGCAGGAGCCAGCCTAAATTGTTTCGCTTAATTATTTTAATCTTTAACTTTTCTTCTTCTTTAGATGAGAGGCCGCTGCCAACTTCACGCGGCACGAAACCGAAATAGATACATGTTGCTTCAAAAAAAATGTTGAGATACATGTTTCTGTGATGCCAATAAGTTGTGCAAGCGTTGCCACTGGGTCTAAACTTTGTTGCTTACTCTGCTGCATATTCTTAGGCATTTTTAAACAAATTAAATATCTGCTGCCATAAAAGAGAGTTCATTTGTCTGCCAGCATTCAAGTTTTTGGTTGCGCGCGCAAATTTAAAATTAGCGAGCATGTCGTCACATGCTGCTTTGCAAAGGCTCAGAGAACATAAGGAGAGGAGCTGCGCATGGCGCTACCTCGGCATTTGTTTCCGCATGCCTTTTTTGCTACATTTTTCTTCAGTTTACCCGTAGAAGTGATAGGCATTAGTCGTTTGCACGCATTCAATGCTATTACTCTGCTCCATGTGCCAGAAACAATCTAAACAAAGTCGCGCAAAAAATGTTTTTAATCAAAACTATTAAATCGTAAAGAATTGAACTCGCGTTGGCTCCACTCAGTTCGGCTAATTTGCAGGTATAAAACGGAAACGGAAATTGTGCCTCAGATGTTGATAGGCATTAAAAACGATTTGACGCGCGAGTCCTACGCACGTGTGCGTGTGCTTGTGTGCAAGTGTATGTGTAAAGACCTTCAGCAAGAAATATGTAAGAAAGCTAAGCGCGTGTTCAACTTACTTTCACTTGTGCAAATGCCGAGCTAAGAGCAAACAAATTGAACAGCCGTAGCATCCTTTACTGTGCTCTGCTCCACTGCGTAGGCGCTTTTCGCGTGAAGCTTTTCCCACTATCCAATTTATTTAGCTGTTGCGGCAAATGCGGCTACTATCCAGTGTTAAGGGCACCATAGTTAGCCAACTCTGGGCAGGTGTCAGTTACATTATTTACACTAGCACACATATAGCTTATTTATGTTATGTATACGACGCATAGGCCAGAACTTCAGCCAATTGCTTGTTTGTTTGCCTTGCAATTGAAGCTAACTCAAAGGTAAACTTGACATCGCTTTTCTAAGCGACCCTTACACAAATTGAAACAGCCAAAGGCTATAAATATCACAAGCGACGCGGCGCGTGTCGGCTTTTTATATTCTGAACCCATTAAAAATGAGTAAGAAGGGTATAAGTGGCTGTAGCAGGCAGAAAGAAGTATCTCCGACCTCATATATACTCTTGGTTATGAACGAAAGCTGAGTCGAGCTGTGAATTCAATTATTTTGGAAATAACAAAATTCGGAATATATATAAAGCTATATAAAGAGTTAACCAATTGTTTCTTCAATGTTCTCCTTCATTTTCATCTATTTTGAGACATGGCTTTTTAAACATAGCTTGGTTCAGGGTATCTACCAGTCGGGCACTGCCAACTAGAGCACTCTTGTCTTCTTTGATGTTGTCTCAACGTATTTAGTTTTGCAAATTGTATTGCTTTAAGTGTGTGCCAGCAGAGCTATCCTTAAAATGTTCAGTCAACTTTAAGTACAAGACAAGCTTTTCAATTTATATACAAAATGAAAGGCTCGTAAAGTATTTGATATTGAGAGCTCTATAGAATGTTTTTCACTTCCCTTTTTGACCAACATAGCAGCGAGGTGACAACGACACGAATGCTAAGTATGCCAATGCAAAGTTCAGCGTTGCAGAAGTTGGAAAAACTATTTGAAAAAGGACATGGCCCGAGCTATGCAAGCACCATGTCAATGTCTTGCGGCAACGAATTACTCAAACACGTAGCTGGCTGCACAAAAACCAACAACAACAACAACAAACAAATGCCTGTTTACAGCGTGTCTGTGTGTGTGTGTGTGTGTGTGTGTGTGTGTGTGTGTGTGTTTTGACTCTGTATTTAACACAGTAGCTGCATCTGGGTTTAAGGTGTTCGCCTCTAATGCCGCGGGTCTCGTTTTAATTAATGCGAATGTTTTCCTGCATTCAGAGCGTACGCAAGCGTACAGCATACGACTCGTGGCACTGGCCAAAGGCTGCAACCATGATGTCTAATTAGGATGTATGGGAAAATACATGTAATTATCTAGTTGAGAGTTGTGTAGTTAGCAAATATACTTGCTAAAACTTTCAGCTTGAAAATCGTCTGACTCTGTCAAAACTGAACTGATTGTGGGCAGTCCTCTAGATTGAAGCAGCATTTGCAGTTGTATAATATTCAATATGCTAGTTTGTCATGAGTTGTGTACTCATCGAATAAGACATGGCTGAACCTATAATATAAATGCATAAATTCGTAATCAGTCTCTACAGTCGATTCGATGGGCTTTCAGTTTCCTTCTATCTATCCTACAATCGGCCGTATAAGATGCCCATAACATATTGGAATAACACTTTACTTTACACTTAACACTTGCCATTGGAACGATTAAGTACTTGTATGACAAATGTTTCTATATATTCTTAGATCTTGAGCTAACCAGGACTTATGAGTTTTACACATGAACAGAATTCTATCAATATCGAATATATATTAGAAAACCTCCATCGTGTCGGTGATGCTTTTAGAAAATTATTAGTTAGGTTAAAATTATTAATTAGGGTTTTAGAATTTGATATATTAAATAATCGCGTTTTTGTCGCCCATAAATAAAAAGTAAATATCATATAGTTCCTCAAAAAACTTTTCCTGTTTATGAAGACATCTCAACCAAACTGCAGCTATTCTCCATAAATATGACAAGCTACCTTATATTCCCCCAAGTATACCTGACACTGCACACCATTTTGTGTGTCCCTGGGTGTAGGATCGTTCGAGCAGATGCTAAGTAGTTGTGCCTGCCCCTAAACTGTTCTAGAAGATTGTATATACTATATGGGGCGGCAGTTGTAATGCTTCACACGCGATTCGTTATGTACCGGAAAAATCAAGTATTAAATCAATAAATTGCATTCTTTTCTTTTGCACTTTTCAGAGGCGCCAAAAAAAAAATATATATATATATATTACTTATATATTTACAATCTGCCGGTGTTGACGTCTTGGCAAACAGCCCAATCACCTAAGCGGGGAAATGTAAACAACAACAGGATGAACAGCCGCAGGAGAAGAGATTGATGTGCAAGCTGAAGCAACTTCAAAGAGTAATAACATAAAAAAAAAGAAGAAGCCCCATCGATTTGGAAAAATACATCGTTAGGCAAACAATTAAACGATGGCCATCAACGTTTGGGGCCTAAATCATTTTGCCATTAGCGCGATCGTGATTGCCAGCATGCAGTTATTGTTCTTCCTATTGAACGCACTGCTGCACATGGACAAACTGTCGGACTTTGCCGGCGGCGTTAATTTCATTATCATCGCATTGCTCACCTTTTTTCTGGGCCAACTGGATCGCCCCTCCAAGGTATGTGGCTGGCTGGGCGGGTGGATGGGTGTCGGGTGGTAAATGGGTTTTAAATTGGGCTGTAAATTAAACGGTGCGAAAGCCCATTGAATTACACCTGGGCGCGGGATTTGTCGGTTTCAGCTACTGACATTGAAAAGTGAAATTTACACAACACACACACACAAACGCACACACACACACATGCATAAACAGCATGGAGTGCGAGTGCATGGGAAGCATCTGCAGTTGCGGCATGCTCGCTGGCAAATAACAAAAGGTTGCGCCCATTTGGCCCACAATTTGTTGTTGTTGTTGTTATTGTTTTGTGCCTCACTTGGTTGACCTTGTCTGGGGCAGGCGTCGGCCATGGCCCTTCGGCCAGTTGTTTGTCATTCTGTCTGCTAAATTGTTTGCGACTCTGGCCGTTAATGCGGCTAACTAAGTTACATATGTAGCAACATGTTATATTGTAAAACAAGACAAGATTATTTCTATTTTATGCGTATCACTCTGCATACGCTTCCGTTTAACCCCATTCGAATGCTGCACATAAATATGAATATTCATTTAAGCCTCGCTCCGTCCTTGCAGCATCATCCTATACTATGTAGACTGTTCACACTTACTAAGATTGAGCTCACGTTTGAGAAAAAGCCCTGCACTTTTTATAAAATCCACTCTGATTTATTCTATATGCCAACTGCCAATTGTGCCATAATAAATAAATGAAGTGCGTTGATACCTCTGGGAGTGGCGCTCATTTATCACGGAGTAAAAGCTGTGCCGCCAACTACCTAGGTCAATAGTGCAGCTTTTTCAATGGATGACCATCACCGAAGCGGTTTAGTGCAAAAATAAAAATATGAAATAATAAAAAAATTCTTGGCGCAAGCTAACCAACAAAAACAGAAGGAAAAAAAAATGGAAAATTGCATTCGGTGAACCGAGGATTAAAAATTTTATTGCAAATAGTATTTGCTAAAATAAAATCAAGAAAAAATGCTTTAGCACCCAAATCAATTTAGTGGGAAAACAAATTGGAAACAATTTCGCAGTAAATTCAACGGGGATTTCCTTTACCGTAAATGCCTCTTTGCGCGTAACGCCCTTCCGTGCGATTTATTTGATTTAAAGTAACAATAATTTCCAGCTATAATCATTTCTTATTTAAGTATAAAGGATTCGGGTTCTCTTAGCGCCGTTCTATGCGATTTTCATTGATGTATCAATTTAGAATTTAGAGAATTCCTGATGGCCCGCTTTACCGAAAATGCCTCTTTAACTTTTAAACGCGTAGTGCCTTTCTATGCGATTCTCATGATTTAAAGTAACAAAATAGTATATCATTTTCCATTCATTATTATGTATAAAGTACTCGCGTTCTCTTATGCTCTTAAATATAACTTTTCTATGCGATTTTCATAATACCAAATGAGAGATATTATTGGCTGTTTAGTGAAGTGTTTGTGGGCAGATAATATTATACCGGTTAATGGCTGGTCAAGCACTCTCCACTAGAGATTCGTTATAAGAGTTAACAAGTTTACATAGCTATTATTAGCCATTTTCCATCTATTTCTACAGGCCTACGAGAGTCGTCAGCTGATGGTAACTGCGTTCGTATGCCTTTGGGGCGCAAGGCTCTCTGCCTATTTGCTCTATCGTATCATAAAATTGGGTAGGGACAAGCAGTTCGAGGATACGCGTCGCAACGTCATACGCTATGCAGTTTTCTGGACATTTCAGGTGAGTCAACACCCAAAGGAAATGAATATCTGAGCAGCACGCGTGACAGCCATGGAACGTAATCAATGAATCTGCCAGCGCATGACATTTCCCCAGGTATTTTTCGAATATTACAATAGCTTGTCACCGTGCCTGGCCATGTATGTAAATGCCAATGTTGCCGCCGGGTTGTTTCCGGCTAAACGTTTGTGGATACGAGCTACACAAAAACTACCGTGTGGGTAGTATGGGTGGTGAGGGGAATGTGGGGAGAGTGTGAGAATGTGACTGACTATCCTTCCACGTTTGTGGCGTGTCGCAACGATTTGATTGCCGGCACTTGTTAGCAAGCACTTCAAATCTGTCCACTTTTCATTTGAATGCAATCAATATGTGCTCTTGCAGGCTATTTGGGTGTATATCGTTTCGCTGCCTGTCATTATTATCAACTCGCGTCACACCCAGCCGCAGGCGAACAAGGGCATGTCAACGTTGGACTCCACTGGCACGGGCATGTTTATTGTCGGTTTGTTGGCCGAGACATATGCGGATCTGCAGAAGTTCTCCTTCCGTCAGGATCCTGCGAATCAGGGCAAATTTTGTAATGATGGTAAGTGCAAATAAAAAAATTATGTGCTATATACCTTTGACAGAAGCCATAAACATTTAAGGGCTCTGGGGCCTCTCCCGGCATCCCAACTATTTTGGCGAGGTTATCGTTTGGTGGGGCATCTTTGTCATATCGTTAAACGTGATCAGCGGCCACGAGTGGGTCGCTATAGCATCGCCCATCTTTACCACACTGATAATACTATTTCTATCTGGCATACCGCTCCGCGAGCGTAGCGCTGATGAAAAGTACAAAAAGTAAGTTGTGACCATAAATGATTTTGTTACCCTTGTAGAGGATATAATAATTTTGTCTAAAAGTAAGAGACATCTGTAGTATCAACAGCCGAGTTTGATATAGCCCTGTCCGTCTGTAATTCTATCTGTTTACGAACTCGTCTCTTAGTCTCAAAGCGAACGCCTAACATTTTCAATAGATCTGTAGATCGGAGCCGTCCGGATAGAACAACTATATCGTATAGCTGCCATGGGAATTGGTGGAAAAGCAAGTTCATGTATGGAAAACATATTTTGTTTAACAAGATATCTGGACCAAGCTCGGGATTTATAAGTTTCGCTATGCTGCGCAAAATCTTATCATCACTGAACCAATTTATCATATAGCATATGTCTTTATCATATAGCCATAGAAACGATCTTCAAAACCTTTGATATCTTTAACAAAATTTTAATTTACGAATTTTAGCCAAGCTGTATGCATATTGCAATTATATTACTATATCATATAGCTCTCCAGAAAGATCTAGTAAAGAATAAGTTTTGTATAGAAACTTTTTCGATTTTCAATATATATTAACCAATTTTCGCAACTACAAGCTTCACAGCAAACCATATTGAGAAATTGCACGTCTAAGTCATACTTCGAGGGTATTAAATCTTCGGCGTGCCGCAGATAGCCCTTCTTTTTATTATATATACTAAGTACCGGATAACATAAAAATTCCCGTTAATAGCCAAGTGGATTATCGCAAGTACAAGGCGACGACCTCACCGTTGATACCTGTGCCGCCGGCCATTTACGAGGAGGTGCCACGCGCTCTCAAGTTTATACTGTGCTGCGAGTTTCCCATATATGATACACTGCGGCTGCACAACGATACCAGTCCCTATTCTCTGTCCATAGCGCGCTCGCACTCGCACATATAGCAGTCAGTGGCCCACTCCGGCAGCCAAAACGCTGGGGTGGGTCAACACACGCACTCGTCGCTTCAATCGCAGCAACTGCACCGGGGTCACTGCTATGGAGCCGACGGCGGCCTGGCTGAGAGCCATCATAACTGTGGCGGCAGCTGCCGGAATGTGCACGTCAAGTCAAATCCCTATCAATGCGAGGCGGGCTATGGCAACTATGGTGGGCGTCACGTGGACGATGAGGATACGGACGATGGCAGCATATATGTGGCGGGTCACACGGGCATCAAGGCCAAGACGCACTACTTTCATGCCGTGCCGCATACGCTGGACTTGGATGAGCCGAACAGCAAGCAGCCTACAAAATGCAGCTACCTGGCCGAGGAGGAGCTGGCCTCCGACTATGACGAGGATATTCCGCCCATCGACCTGAGCAAGGTCAATAGCGTTGAGAGTTTCAAGAATCGTGTGCAGACCGAAACCGAGCATTCCCTCAATGCCGAAGGAATGCCCGTGACCGTGACTACAATATTGTGATTGACATTTAAGACATTTGTTGTGGCTCAAAACCGTGGGTATAAACGCTTTAAATAGTTCTAAATGTGCTTAAGTGTGTTGAATACACACACACAAACACACACACATATACATATATATATATATAATATATATACCCATTATCGATATGCTTAAGTTAGATCTTTTCAGGGATCTTTTCCAGAAAACTTTCCAAAAAAACCAGTGCCAAAAACTAGTGCATAACTACTTAAAACATGAGTGCGCTGCATCTCATAAATAAAAAACATATATATTTTGCTCAAAATTTGAAAACAAAAAGGCGCCTCTTCTAAATGTCTTTAGAATGTTGCACTCTTTCAAACTTAATTAGCCACTTTGTTGATTGGTGAGAGTTCTATTCTTAAAAAAAATATATATAGTATATATAAAAAAGAAACCATTAATTACTTTATCTCAGCAATTTTCTAATCAATCGTATGAAGAACAAGCCCCACCAAAAAACAAAAAATAAATAAGTTGTAAATGAGAAAGCAAGTCGAGCGATAAAAAACGGAAACATATCCCAAGCAAACCTACATTAAATATTGTTTTTTTTTTTCTTACATATACAATACGAACTCTAAAGTACAAGAAAATTGTTAAATAATAATATGGGAAGCTGATTCATAAGCTGTATAATTTTATATGTGTACGATATAAAAAAAAGCTTGAATACATAAAATGTATATAATAAATGTATACGCAAATTTCTGTGTTTAATCTGTTTCATAATTAAATCTTAAAAACTTAATGCAGTATTATTAAATAAATAAAACATTGTACCTAATTATCTATTTAAAGAGCCATACAAATTAAAAAGCAAATGCTTAAAAAATAAAAATCAAAAAGCTTTAATATCTATGGAATTATACATTTTTTAATCAATTTAAAAGGTTTTTCTAGAAAGCTCTTGCGTAAAGTAAATGTACATATATATAGAGGTATATAAACGTGGAAACACTTTGTGTGCATTTGAAAAACGAAAAAAAGAAAATCGGTTAAGTAGGCCCTGAAAAACAGATCCAAGTAGGCCATGGAAATTCGACCGGCCCCTGGCTTCCATATCCCAAATCCAAAACCAAAAGTAAGTCAGTTCCTGTAAATGTATTGTAAAGTACATATCGGTAAAAAAAAAAATTTGTAGTTTATTTTAAAATTCAATGTTTTTTCTTTATTTGTGAAAAAAAAAAAATATATAATTTGTTTGAAAATATATAGTGCTAAAATTTTAAGTGAATCTCCTGTTCGAATAATTAAATCCAAGCCCGCGAACTTCCTTTGTAGAACATGTTCGGTCTAACTCGTCGCGCCATCTTCCGTGTCAGTAAACAGAAGCAGCTATGCCGCCAGTTCGCCTCCCAGGCCATCAACCAGATGCTGATGCTGCAGCAGATGGACATCTGTGCTGATCAGCCATCTCGCGGTCTGATCGTCGGCGTCTATGCCGATGAAGAGGACAAGAACGATGCTGGCATCCTGACCTCATCTGGCTGGCGGTACAACGTCCAGAAGACCAACGGCCGTCTAATTGAGGTGCTCCGTATGTCTGGACCCATGCCAAAGCGCGGTGAGGCTCGTCTCTTGTTTGCGGTTGAGCCGGAGCGCATTCCCTACTATTCCGTCGTGGCTGTTGTTGGCCTGGGCAAAGAATGTCTGGGATACAATCCCTACGAGGTGCTCGATGAGCAAAAGGAAGCCATTCGCCGATCAGTGGCCAAAGCTTGCCAGGTTCTGGCTGAACTAGATACAGATCGTATTGAAGTGGAGAACTGCGGACATGCCGAGTCTGCTGCCGAAGGTGCAGCCTTGGGCATTTGGGCCTACCAAGAAATGCGCGACCCCAAATCTCGCATTTCCATTCCCTCGATCGATTTGTACGCTGTAAAGGACGAGGTCTGCGATATTGAAGGTTGGCGTATCGGATTACAGAAAGCTGCTGCACAGAATCTAACCCGGCAGTTGCAAGAGATGCCCTCCAACTTGCTGACCCCCACAGCATTTGCCCAGAACGTCGTCGAAGTTCTGTGTAAATCGGGTGTCAATGTGGAAGTCAAAGTAGAAGGCTGGGCCGAGAGCCAGTCGATGCATGCTTTCTTGGCGGTGGGCAAGGCTTCCTGTGAGCCACCGATCTTCCTAGAGCTGAGCTACTACGGAACCTGTGCCGAGGAGCGTCCCATTGTTCTGGTCGGTCAGGGAATCACCTTCGATGCTGGCGGCCTATGCCTGAAGAAGCGTGGAGAGCTCTACCACATGCGTGGTGACATGACCGGAGCTGCTGTGGTTGTGGCAACCTGTCGTGCCGTGGCAGGACTGCGTTTGCCGGTAAATTCCCACTAACTTTAAATTAAAATCAACTTCTAAGCAATTAATCTTTAGGTCAACATTCGCGGTCTCATACCACTCTGTGAAAACGTCATTGGATGCAACTCATTCCGTCCCGGCGACATGGTCAAATCGATGAATGGCAAGACAATCGAGGTCCAGTGTACTGACCATGAGGATGTTCTGGTTCTGGCTGATGCCTTGCTGTACGGTCAGAACTTCTGCCCCAAGTGCATCATTGATATTGGCACCTGCTCGGGCTATATGCGTCAGGCTTTGGACGAAGCCGCCTGCGGCGTCTTCACCAACTCTGAAATCCTCTGGCAGCAGATCAAGCACGCCAGCATGCACACCGGAGATCGAGTCTGGCGCTTCCCATTGTGGAACTACTACAGCAAGGCTGTCCGCGCCGGACAGCGCAGCGATGTCCAGAACTACGGCATTGGACGTGGAGGCCGTCCCTGCAAGGCAGCTGCCTTCCTGCGTGAATTCGTGCCATGCGGCCAATGGATGCATATTGTAAGTAGACTTTTAAGCTGTAACTAGAATTGTTGCTCAATTGCCCGTCTTTCAGGATGCCACCAATGTGATGGTAACAAACGGCTTGGACTTCGAGTACTTGCGACGTGGCATGGCCGGCCGTCCTACCAGAACCCTGATAGAATTCATTGCTCAAACCATTTGCAAGGATACTGCACCGAAGATGGGAAAATAGATTTGTGTGTCGAACAACGTAGCTGAGCGTTATCCAGAAAAATGCAGGCGCGAAATGCAAGGAAGTGTCGTTTAACCCGATATGTATAAATTTCTGGTGAAAAAGTATATTGTGACGGAAGCTACAGTATTATGTTATAATGTACATTTATATATATATATTATATATAATTAAAAATGTCACTGGAATTAACCAAGATTTTTCTCTGCAAGAATTTATAGTTTAGTTCACAAATCAAACCTTAGCTTAACTCAAGCTTGATTTAACATTTGGGCTTGTGGGCTCAATTCAAAAGCAAAATGCGGGCTAAATTAAATCTTAACCCACTAAATATGGTTGTAGGTTTAAGTAGTTTAATAGTTGGCCCCGACATTATTTTTGCTTTGTGGCTGGCTCGGGTGTTGGTTCAGCTGTTACATTGCACTTAATCCTCAACCCACACTTGGTTTAATTATAGTATTTATAGTTTTATATTAATCCAAAGCACAAAACAAATGCGCAGTGGCATTTGTTTGGCTTCCACCGAGCTGTTACGCGTTGCCACGTTATGTGTCCTCAATATATCCCAAGGGGTAGGTTCAAATTGTGTAAGCTAAAGTTATGCCGGCTGTGTCAAGGTCAAAAATAAAATAAATTAACTGAAACTGAGAAGCGTCAAAGAAGTCACAGGTCTGCCAACGGGCAATTAGGCGCGAAATGCAAGGAAGTGTCTTTTAACCCGATACGTATAAATTTCTGGTGAAAAAGTATATTGTGACGGAAGCTACAAAATATGTTATAACGTACATTTATATATATATTATATATATAATTAAAAATTTCACTGGAATTAACCAAACCGGGTTTCAATTTATTGTTTACTATGAATAGACCCTTAAACCTTGATTTAGATAAAATGAATAAGGAATAGTCAAACCCAAACTGATTTATATTAAATAAAATAATCTGTTCGCTATTCGATAAATATTGTTGCAAAAATTATGAAATATTCACTTTTTGCAATAAAAAAGTTTATGCTAAAATAATCAATTTAATTTATGATAAATTGGAAAGGTTATATTGCAAATTGAAAGAAATTTGCTTAGCCAAGGCTCGAGCCAAAAGCCCGACTTCACAGATTAAAGCAGTGCGGGGGTTTGCAGCCATGTTTCATATATTAACTCCAAGAAGTTGAAAGGGCCCTCGGTATTTCAAAAAACTCCCGGTTTCCTCCTCAGTCTTGCACGAAGCCTAAACTCATTGCGAATTTTAACAGCACCTTCTGTGTATTTGTGTTTAACTTTTGAACATGTTTGTCACAGGCATATATTTTAATTCATCCATTAATTTTTTAAATATTATCATTTAAAATGGTGGAAAAGTAGAGGAAACGAGCAACAGAAATGCCGCTTGCATAAATCAGGAGTGTAAAGTGTATATGGTATACAAATTTTAACTATGGTTTAGGCCCTATAGGGTATCATCATGTCGAGTACTCTCGAATTGTAAGCCTATTGAACAAATTGGAACTATGGTAGAGACCTTATACAATAGGGTATATATTTGTGTCGAGTACTCTCTCTCGTATTGAAATATGTCTATTGAAGAAATTGAAAGTCTGGTATAGACCTTATACTAGAGGGTATATTTATGTCGAGTACTATCGAATTGTAAAGCTATTAAACAAATTGGAATTATGGTATAGACCCAATACTTTAGGGTATTTTTATGCCGATTACTCTCGAAATGTATACTAGTTGAAAAAATTGAAACTATGGTATAGGTTTTTTACTATAGGGTATCTTCATGTCAAGTACTCTCGTATTGGAGTATGCCTATTAAACAAGTTGAAAGTATGGTTAGGTTCTATACCCTATCGAATTGTATACCTATTCAACGAATTGGAACGATGGTTAAGACCCTATACTAAAGGGTATCTAAGTGTCAATTACTATAGAATTATAAAGCTATTAAACAAATTGGAACTATGGTATAGGCCTTCTACTATGGGGTATCTTTATGCCGATCGAAATGTATACTAATTGAACAAATTGGAATTATGGTATAAGTCCTTCATGTCGAGTACTCTCGTATTGGAGTATGCCTATTGAACCAATTGGTATAGTCTCTATACCCTATCAAATTGAATACCTATTAAACAAATTGTAATTATGGTTTAGTCCCTATACTATAGGGTATCTTCATGCCGAGTACTCTCGAATTTAGGAAAACCTACTATGCCCCTGAACTTGAAATTCTTATTTTCAAATTTCCAGCTGCATATATAATTTTTTTTCGATCTAGTAGCAGTAGAAATTGTGGTGGCATTGTAAGGGCATGTAGCCAGCACGTTGAAGTATTATTTTCATTCCTTTGGCGATAGAACACGCAACAATTTAAAGAATTCCGGAAAAAAATCTTTCAATTTTGTGCCTAAAAAGTACAATTATCGTTTACAAAATATTTTCAGAGTTATAGTTAGTAAAAAGTCGAAATGTTTCGCGTAACAAGACGTCTGGCCTCTCGGGCTTTACCATCGCGGCAAACAATTTTTAAGAGAACCTACTCGCAGATGATTAACCAGATGTTGCAGATACAGCAGATGGAAATTTGCGCAGATCCCCCATCACGTGGCCTGATTATCGGAGTCTATGCGGACGAAGAGGACAAGAACGATGCCGGTATCTTGACCCAGGCCGGCTGGCGATACAATGTCCAAAAGACGCACGGACGTTTGCTGGAGGTGCTGCGCATGTCTGGACCCATGCCGAAGCGCGGCGAGACGCGGATGCTGTTCGCGATTGAGCCCGAGCGGGTACCCTATTACTCGGCGGTGGCTGTGATAGGTCTGGGCAAGGAATGCCTGGGCTATAATCCTTACGAGGTGCTCGATGAGCAAAAAGAGGCCATTCGTCGGTCGGTGGCTGACGCCTGCAGGATCCTGGCCGAACTAGACACCGATCGCATTGAAGTGGAAAACTGCGGACATGCCGAATCGGCCGCTGAGGGAGCGGCTTTGGGCATTTGGGTATACCAGGAGTTGCGCGATCCCAAGCGGCGTATGTCGGTCCCATCAATTGATTTATATACCAACAAAGATGAGATCTGCGACATCGAGGGCTGGCGTATTGGATTGCAAAAAGCCGCCGCACAGAATCTGACCAGGCAGCTGCAAGAGATGCCCTCCAACTTGCTAACCCCCACAGCATTTGCCCAGAACGTCGTCGAAGTTCTGTGTAAATCGGGTGTCAATGTGGAAGTCAAAGTAGAAGGCTGGGCCGAGAGCCAGTCGATGCACGCCTTCTTGGCGGTGGGCAAGGCTTCCTGTGAGCCACCGATCTTCCTAGAGCTGAGCTACTACGGAACATGCGCCGAGGAGCGTCCCATTGTTTTGGTCGGTCAAGGTGTGACCTTTGATGCCGGTGGCTTATGCCTGAAGGAACGTGGAGAGCTCTTCCACATGCGTGGTGACATGACCGGAGCCGCTGTGGTTGTGGCAACCTGTCGTGCCGTAGCAGGACTGCGTTTGCCGGTGAGTTATTCAATCCTCCAAAGCACAGCATATTGCTAATCTGTACATTAGGTCAACATTCGCGGTCTCATACCACTCTGTGAAAACGTCATTGGATGCAACTCATTCCGTCCAGGCGACATGGTCAAATCGATGAATGGCAAGACAATCGAGGTCCAGTGTACCGACCATGAGGATGTTCTGGTTCTGGCTGATGCCTTGCTGTACGGTCAGAACTTCTGCCCCAAGTGCATCATTGATATTGGCACCTGCTCGGGCTATATGCGTCAGGCTTTGGACGAAGCTGCATGCGGTATCTTCACAAACTCTGAAATTCTCTGGCAACAGATCAAGCATGCCAGCATGCACACCGGAGATCGCGTCTGGCGCTTCCCATTGTGGAACTACTACAGCAAGTCCGTCCGTGCTGGTGGACGTAGCGATGTTCAGAACTACGGCATTGGACGTGGAGGCCGTCCCTGCAAGGCGGCTGCCTTCCTGCGTGAATTCGTGCCATGCGGCCAATGGATGCATATTGTAAGTCATTCTTTAAGGTGCGCATTAAGGGGTGGTGCTTAATTTGGCCTTTTGTTCCCAGGACGCTACCAATGTGATGGTAACAGCGGGTGAAGAGTTCGAGTATTTGCGACGTGGAATGGCTGGTCGTCCAACTCGCACTTTGATAGAATTTATTGCTCAGACCATTTGCAAGGACACTGCCCCAAAGTTGAAAGGCTAGGATGACGTAACAGCTAAAGGTGGTTCGGAATTCTAAACCGATCTTCGGATGGTGCAGATTCAGAGTTCTTTTAAGTAACAGATCGCGACTTATTTGACGTTTCTGAGTTTTTAATTATTTGGACACAGAATGTTAAAATTCATTAGTTTATTAATGAAAAAAAATTTATAAAATTAAAAGTTTTATCAAAAGCACATGTATAAATACAGAGTTTTGAGTATACGACTCGTGCGTTTTGTTAGTTTTGGCGTTTGCGACGCTGTCAATGATTGCTTAACGTATTGCTCATCAGAATATTGATTTCTCAGGTCATTAAATTAGGCGCAAGCTGTGGCTTTAAATTCGGAAACGTCGTCTGCTACGCCAACGAGACTGCGTGAGTCAAAACAACATTAATATCTATGGGTGGATAATTCTGAAGCAGTTTCACATTCGAGGCAAAGTCGTTCTCCAGTATGGCGTCCCGCTGAATTCTGTGGTAATATATTATTAGCTTTGTCATCTTTAAAGCGTGCCTGTGACTTACAATATCATGGAGCAACAAATTTTAATAAGAAAATCAAAACGCTTCTCATCCGAGAATACCGAGTCCCATATTCGCAACACATCGGGCAGTGGAAATTCCTGTGAGAGTAGCAGATTGATCCATCTGAAGCTGTAGTATTGAGGATGCAGCTCCTGACTTTTAAGGCGATTGTATATGCTTATATCTTTTGATTTCAGCATATTCGAAAGCCTGGACATCATGCATTTTATGCCGCCTTCCGCATCATCCAATGTTTTTATAAAAAAGTCTCTTATTTCACTCATCAATGCAGTAAAGCAAAAGAAACAGTCTGCCTCGGCGTGTGCGCGATTCGATAGATCCGGATCTGAGGCCATAACGTAGTAAATGGGCCCAACTATCTCATTCATGCCTTGTACATATCCCTGACCGGGATTAAGTTTGGCATATATAAATAAAATTCGTTGCACAACCTCCCAATGCGCTTCTTGGCCTTCTTCCATGGCGGCATAGTTTTCGGCCGAGCGTTTTGTTATCAAGTTTATCTGAATGTGTGATTGATTCATATGGTTAGAGTTGTATTATTTCATGTTAAACCAACTTACTTGCTGCTAAATTCCGCATGGAATGCATAATGGAAGGTTTCTTGATCGCTTAATCCTATATTCAACACGTCTTTATGCCATTCAGACTCACCTTAGTCACACCCAGACCTTTGCGTTCAACATTTGCCGAGCTCAGAACGGAGGGCACCACACGCTCGTGTAGCCTCCTACCCTGCTCCCCCTTGCTGTGTACAACAATTTCACATGGATAATCCGTGGGCTGTTGAAAGAACGATATGTCCGGACACAAACGCCTCACATCTTTATCAATTTGCAGCAGAAATTCGTTATCGTTGAAAAACGTGTTCCAAGCGCTCTCCGGCCCCTCGCTAAGCGGATGATCTTGCAGGCCAACGCCCCTCGATTCATCATCGCTGTCGCCAGCGCCATTATGTGTGTGTCCAGGCGGAAGCACTAGCTCCATAATGAATTGTTTATAGAGCGCTCGCTTCTGCGCCAATGTTGTGGGCCAACTGCTGCGTCTGGGTCCTAGATAGCCCAACAACATTTTCCAGCTGAGCGCCCGAAAGCTGAGTACATCTGGCACACCTGTCGATTTGTGCGTAAGTGCTGGTTATTTTTAAACATCTTCATAATAGCTCCAACCAACCATTGAAAGTGTGCCGACGCAGTTGCTTAAGTTCAATTACATCCTGTGCAAAAATATCCTCGAATTCCTTAACGCTGCATAAACAACACAGACTTTCTCTTAGTTTGGCTTGCTTCCCATAGGTGCCAGATGTACATACCGCACTTTAAAAATAGACATGCTTGCCGCAAATCCTTACTCTCTCCATAAAGTTATAAATAATACGTCTGTTTCGCGTATGTTATTGCTTTGTTGTCATTTACACAATTAATAATAGCAGGAATGTAAAACTGCAACTGCAGTACGCCAATTAATGTATAAGATAAAACTACTATGTGGCAACGCTGGCACTCGCATGAAGTTGGCTGCACGCAATTTTCGACTCACGTGAAGTTGCCTGCGCGCAGTTTTTAAATTTTGTAAATTTAGCTGTTATTTTGAATCAATAAATATTGTCATGTGTTCACTCTTTCACTGCATTAATTACACTTTTCACTCTTTTTCAGCCGATTCGTATAATGAACATGTTATTTTGCGCTCGTTATGCACTTTATTCTTTTTTTTTTCTAGCTTTGCGCCATTTAAATTACACATACGCGTTGGCGTGAGCAGACGCATGGACGTCTGTGCGGCCGTAAAATAGAAAAAGAGAGCAATTCTCAATTGTTTATATGGTTTTTGTGGCGCATTCCAATTGTTTACGCTAGTCGTTGGCCAGCAATGACGACCAACAGATCGTCATACGCTCGACCGGCTTTTTGGAAGGTGCCCAGTTATGTACATGACGTAAAGTCTACCCCAACGTCCACGTTGCCAATTTCAACATCCCGTCTGACGCAGCGACGTTGCAGCAACAGTGGCAACAAGAAGCGTGTCCACTTTGCCGATGAGCTACACAATGGGGTAAGTCAAGAGACCAACCCCTGTCGACTATGCTGCGGCATCGGCATCGGCATATGGCCTGTCAATCGTCGCTGGTATGGCCCCAATACTCTCTGCCACCACATTAGAAATCAGTTCAATGGCATTTTGCACTTGGCGGCCCGTAAATTAGTCGGGCACAATTTAATTAATTGGCCACTGCTGCAGTTTTTCTTTTAAAAATGCGGCTCTCAAAATTCCCAAACCGCAATCATATATATTTATCATATGGGGATATAGCGTGAAATTGACGCAAATGTTTTTAGCTGCAGTTGCCAAAAATAATGTGCCAATATTTTGGAAAATCTTTTTAATGCATTTAATGGCAAGCTTTTGAAAAATTAATGATATATAAGCATTAACGACTGATTCAACTAGACAATTTCGAAATCGGTTAAACGACCTTAAATATGTCTATTCGAATACAAGCTCTATATTTGATCAATCATATGAAATCAAAGAATTTCAACCAAATATCATGTGAAAGCAATTCAGTTCACAAATAGTAAAAGCATTTTAGAATCGGGGCAAACAAAATGCTACCAAATCAAATAAATAGGTTGCAAAAATAAATGCCAGTCCATATATTGTATACGTAAATATGTGTATATCAACGCCTGCTATATGAGAAATCGACGGGAAGCAAAAAGAATTTTCCGTTGTAAGAAGTAAAAATGCTGCCAAAAACAAAAGGAAACAATTTCGTTTCGATTTTTCTTTTGACGTTATGGCGCAATATACATATTCCCTATCATTTCGACTCTGCATCCACAGAGTTCCATATCGTTTTTGGAATGGGACATGACCCCCGCGGAACAGTCTGTGCAGATTGCGTATACGACGCGTTGAACGCGCATTGACTAATGCCGCAAACATTTGATTTGTTTATTTAAAATGAGCGACTGTTATTGTTGCTAGTGCCGCTATTTGAAGCGTGCCAGTAAATAAATTTAATTACAGCCTCTCATTTGCTTGGCTGCAAGAGCAAATCATAAAAAAAACCAAAATTGTTGAAACTTTTGAAAAACATATGCCCCAACATATATTCGTCTTCGGTCTTCATCATCGTCGTCGCAGTCGTCGTCACTGCGATGATCGTGCTCTATGCCCCTAGACGATGACATGTGGCGTTTAAATTCAGGGTCATTTTGTCTATGCAACTGGATCAAGTGTTGTTACAAAATGTTGCAAACAAATGCCGTACATTTTCAAATATATTTCTAGCTTGAACTTTTGTTAACTGATCTGAACAACATGTGCTTGTTAGTATTTTACAAATTTTTTCCAAAAAAAAAACAAATGACTTTCGTTACCAAGCCCATAACAAAACTGAAACGCTCTCGACGTAGCGCATATTGAAAATTATTGGCATTTGGATTGAGTTCGTGTTTCTCAGCCCGCTGACTACATGATTGTAGCGCAGTGTATTCGTAGTATACCACGATCCGTTGCCGCTTGCTGCAAAAAGGAATACAAATTGTATTTTAAAATTAGTACTTGAGCAGCATTGCGATCGAATAATACGCGAAAATCGCGCTGCACGCGCTTACCTCCGCCTCGGGCTGAGAACTTGGCCAATAAACAATTAAAGATTCGCGCATGCAGAGTGAAAAGGCAGCCCCAACAACAACTGCCCTTAACGAAGCTTCTCTAATATGCTCAATTGAGCTGTGAATTAGTGTAACTGAACAATCAAACAATATCGGTTCAATATGAGCCCAAAACTGCACGAGTTCGCCGTGACGCTCCAGCGTGATGGCCAGGGCACGCCCTGGGGCATACGTTTGGTCGGTGGCAACGATTTGGATACGCCGTTAATCATCACCAGGGTAAAGTGGAGGCGAACTGCTTGCCCACCAATTGGGGCTGCATTATGTAACTAGAGCAGATGCAGCTAAGAGCTGGCAATGGGTTTCCTTCCTTCTCGCCTGTCGCTTTGTGGTTAATGTCGCCGCGACGGCCCATTCATCACAACAGGCTGCACAAACGCGACAGAGAACTGTCCATTATCGTTGCCAAACTGCTTTGGCCTTTGGGTTCTGCACTACTTAATGACAAAACAAACAAACAACAACAACAAATCAAAACAGTAAAAGTACAACGGACGGGCGGACGCGACTGCAAAATGCTCTGCATAGGATGAGAAACAATGGCAAAATACCAAGAAAATATTGTTATAAATCGGTTTTCTTATTAGGAAAAATAATTTGCAAAAATCTTAGTCAGAATCAAATTGTAGTTCGTAGAGTTTCCCAGTTGGCTAAGAGAAAGGAAAGAAAGCACACAGCAGAAATGATAAAAAAAAACCGCCCTAAGCTAGCTACTTGGCTAGCACACCCTTTTCACCCTTTACAGTGTAGGGTATAAATAGCGAAACTGGCACACACTCACACACTCGCACACACGCACGATATATCGCATATCAGGGGAATGTTGCAATGGCAACGTTGCCAAAGATTTGCATATTCTGAGACGCCAGTAAAACTAATTGAGGCGCAACAAATAGAATACGACGCATGTAAACAATATGGGAATGGGGCTATGGGACTTGGGGGCCCTCATAATAATGATGTCTGTGCAACGATGTCAAGGTCGACAGCGGTCCTAGGCCCGGCCAATTGGGTTAACAAACGTCTCACTTGTTTAACCTTCGTCCACACAGGTGCAGGTTGGCAGCCCGTCGTATGGGGAGCTGTTGCGTGGCGATATTATAGCCAAGATTGGCGAATACGATGCACGCGACTTGAGTCACGCCGATGCCCAGCAGCTGTTTCGCGGAGCAGGCAACGAGATTAGTTTGGTGGTGCACAGGTGAGCTCGCCAAAAGGTTTAGTTACAGCTGCTACTTATTAAATGCGATCTCTTTTCTAGAGACAACACAATCGCCTACATGCAGGGCGTAAATCAGGATGCCGGCTCGGGCAGCAGCTCGAAGTTGCCGCCGGCCAGTCCGGAACTGTCCCAGCATCCGCATCGCGGACCATCACCCTTCTTGCCCGGGCCCAGTCATTTTGAGCGTGCGCTGCAGCTGCCCGTCGATACACTGCCCCAAACGGTGTTTCCGCAGCTGAACCCCTCGGGTGGCTATGTGCCGCCCACAAGTGTGTTTGCACCAAAAGCGACGAGAGATCATCAACAGGATGTGGCCGAGGAGCAAGCACTCATTGTTAATCAGGTGAGTGCCAAAATAAAAGGCTACAATTGATATATTAAAACATAAACCACAGATCATAGGCAATTTAAACGAGTTGTAAATCCAATTAAAACTGTTTAGTTCAACTTCCTCTCCCTTTTTACAAATGCTCGAAATCTGATTGAATTTGCAGCCATTTTAAATTTTGCGCACAAAAGTATGCAACGCAAACTCATTTTTCGCATCTAAACTGACGCCCTGAAGTAGGCAGCAGAATTTGTTTTGAAATAGATATGAATTTTGTAAAAATCGTGCGCCATCTGCTGACATCAGAGGATAGACATTTTGTGGTCAAGGTTCCACTGTTTACACGATCTAAATTTAGCCAAATATATACAAACACACCATGTTTCAGCTGTGAAAATGTGAACGCTAAACAGGAAAGTCTTGTGACGCAGTATGTGCAGGTGGAAAACTGGCAAGCAAATAAACAAAAACGCCCAAAAACTGCCGCCCTTTTTTTTTTTAGCAAACAACGGCGCAAATATAGAAACATTATTTTCAAAATTGTTACTCGGCCACTTTGGCTGGCTGCAGGTGAACAGCGTACTTTATATATATACATATATACATTTATATTTATTTTTATGAATACTACATATACCAAGTATATCAGTCTTTGTACGAATGTGCATTACCTGCCTGCTGTTGAGGGCGCTGTCGGACACTACCTTGTGATCTTCAGGCAATGCCAACGAAAGTGTTGCGCCAAGCTCACCTCAGCTGATGACGCTGTTAATGAAAACAACAATGTTGCCACTTGCCAAGGTTGCCATTTGATTTGTCAATGCAGCATATAAATATATATCAAGGTGTTGCCATATTTATTTTCTTCTGCTTGTTATGACTTGTCATTAAGTTAACACAATAATTTGTATTTTTGTTTTGACGATTATTTGCTGTAAAAAAACGATCCCTTGAAATACCTAAAGCTTTTAATGATCTAAGAAACAAACAATTTGATATACCTAATCAAAAATAGGAAGCTTATAAATAAATTATCTCTTATAAGAATTCGTAATATATATAAAAATAGCTTTTTTGATTTGGCACAGATCAGTTTGTTTTTCGGAAAACTTTTTGATCAACCCACTCAAAGAATGTTTTTTTCATTTTCTTTCGAATATTCCCTTCCAAAAATACCTAATATTAAACAAACAACCTTCAGACTTGGACAAATAAACATATTATAATGTAAATTATGAGTTCCTTGGGTCTATCCGTCGAACTTGAAAGTTCTTTGACGCCCAGCCTGCTGTTAATTTGGGTGTGTGCCTAACCTATGAAGGTTAATTACACCTGTCCCAATGCCTACTCCAGTGTCAAATTGATTTAGACATCAATTAGCTGCAGGCAAAATGTCAATGTTAATTCTACAATGAAGAAATGGAGCTGTCAAAAATGCTCGACAAATTCGTTCGCAATTTCCAAGAGCAAATCAGCGAAAGCAAACTGAACACATCAATAATGAATGTTCTACAGAAAATATGAGCACAACATTTCTGTGCAATAATTTGAATAAATGTTTCTGCAATCGAGCAAAACAATAACCTCGGTACTGGTCAACGTTTGTCCAATTCTCGAATGAATAATGGAAATAAAGCGAGAAAAACCGAAATTGCTCTAAAAATCGGCAATTAAAATATATACATGATATATATAGATAATTTTGTTTTATGAATAGGCGGCAGGACAAACAAACTGACAGCACATACGGCACATCTGTGTACAACAACAATACATATAGATGTCGTTATAAGGAGGGACTGGGGAGGCTTTCCGTTCTTCTTCTTTTTTTTTTCTATGAACGGCGCGTGGGCGTAAATGAAAAGCGCTCACGGCAGCATCCAAGTCCAAGTTTATATGTAAGTAGTTGTTGTATTTTGCCGTTACGCTCGGTGAATAATCTATTTGCACAAAACATTTAGCCTAAGAATATGTATCTTTAACAAATTGAGTGAGAGAGAGAGAGAGAGAGAGAGAATGTGGGAATCTGTGTGCTGGTGTGCGTGGGTTTGGACGGCCTCTGACCGTCAGCACTCGCACTCTGATGCTGATGCTGTTCTATATGGCCACACACACACACACACACGCACACACACACACGCACACACACACACATTGACAGCTATACAACTCATATATAGAGACTCTATATAGACGGATTGGAATTCCGCGCAGTCGAAATAGCAATAATTCGCCAGCATTTGAAAATTTTCAAATCAGTTGCGTTCGGAATATTGAAAAATAAACAAGTCTACTCGAAACACATCCCTCCTAGTCCTAGTGAAGCGATCTCCGCAAGTGGTGAACAAGAAGAAGAAGAAGAAGAGTTAGCAGAGCAGCGTTGATTTAAACGTGCCACAAAAGCAAGTTGCCCAATTCGCAAATAGCTACAAAAAGATTAGAAGCAATCATAATAAATATTTAAAAAAAAAATATAATAATCATTAATTGTGATATTAGAAATTGCTTTTTTAAAAATTTCGTTCTTACGTAAGAGTATTCAGTAATATTTTCGTTTCTATTCTATTCAAATTTGGCTCAAAGGAGTTTAAGTTCAAAAACCCACACACACACACACAAATTAAAATGGAGTACGTTCAGTTCAAAAATGGATCACCCGTCTACTACAAGGAGCAGCCAGACCTCAATGAATTAATTCAATATCAAGTAAGCATACGATGTTAAGCAAAATAAAAGCGAAAGTTCAAAGGGAAATGCGTAAAGTAGGCTTTACAAGACTAAAAGAAATAGTATAGCAAGTATTCTAACTTATTATTTAAAAGTTCACTGGAAAAATGCTAATTTATGAAGAAAAATTTTACATTAAGAAACATTTGGGACATTTGAAAGACTTCACCTTTACTGTCAAAAATGTCTAATGGAATTCAAGTTCAATTGCAAGTGTCAACGTAAGCGACAGTTGTGAAGCATATTTCCAATTATTTTTACTTTTCCTAAAGTTTAACAAATGGTTTATTTCATACAGTTTAGAGAGCAGCATATATGTATATGTATGTGCTCTCTTCTCGTACTTTCTGCTTCTTCTATGTATACACCCACCGTTTAGCTTATTATTTAAGCATATTTGTTCGCTTTTCGTCAATATGCGCGAATAGGAAAAAAACAATTTTTTTTAAACATATTTTTCATGGCTTTTTCGGTTGGTGCTCAATGTAATTCATACCTCGTTGGATATTTTTAGAAGAAAAATAAAATAAAAAATTCTCTGAGCGAATAACAACTGCGAAAACAGCAACAAAATAATAAACAAAATGATTCGAAATGAAATTAATCTGAAAACGAACATAGAAACCAACACTGGCGATAATTAGTTAAATGAAAAATAAACCCAAAAACAAAATCACAATTCCCCATTGTTTAAACATGTGGGAAGATTTTGGCATTGCATCAAAAAATGTGGCGCAGCGAAAGTGAACAATTGTTGTCACTATTTGAAAACAAAAAAAAACTGTTGCTAAATATTTTTGAGAGAAATGTTGCGAAACTAATTTATTATTAAATTTACACTAAGGTTCTTAGCAGCTACATGAAGTCAGTGTAAGTTTGTCAACATTTTGAATATGTATTTATAAACGATACTTGTCTGGGCAGATTGACTTAAATTTATGATGGGTGCAATAAAAACGGAGGGATTGAATTCAATTAAAAATTTCGAAAGTGACCCTCAAATGATATTTCAAAATATTTTTGTGCCTGCGCCAGCCACAAATTTTAAATATAGCAACCATAAGAGAGGGAGAAAAAAAATGAACGTATTCAATTTATTTTCGTATATCTCAAAATTGTACGCCCGTCGTTCGATTCGTTCTACGGCCAAGGTGAATAAGAATTGTAAGAAATGCGCAATTAAACGAAAAGAGGCGAAATTGCTTACCTACTCTTTTATATAAAGGTAATCATCATGTTCATTATTCTACTAGTTGCTGTGGTCATATCCATCACCTTGCCAAGCAGGCGGTGTCACTCAAGATCGAAGCAATTAATTGCTTGTCGCTTAGTGCTGCATGCACCTCCTCCTCGTCCCACTGCAGCACGACTTTGTTGAGACGTGGCTCCTTCTTGCGCATAATGCGCAATATACCCCGTGTTTCTACCAGATCGACGGTGCCCGCAAACTCGGCCTGATCAAGGGCGAGTATGTTGCGTTTGGCACACACGCGTCGATAAACCTCATGCAGCCGTCCCATGCTGATGTCCTTGTTGCGCTCGTTGCGCAGCATCAGCACCAGCGAGCATAGCATTAACTTTTGCTGCAGCGGAAAGGCAGCCTCAATGTCCTCCTCTAGGTTCTGTGAGGCGCCATAGACCTTGTTGAGCACTGCCGCCACTTGGCTGACCTGCACAGGCTTGAGCGTGTCTATAAATGAATTTAATTACATTATCAATTGTATTGGGCCCAAATAGCATTCATTTACCATTAGCCTCTGCGGTCTGACCCTCCAGTTCGAGTGCCCTCATGTTGAACTCTTTGTCGCCAGCACGCTTCTGCTGCTCGGCAATCTCCACGACACGCCGACCAATGTCCAGGGCGCGTCGCACATCGCCGCTTACCGCGCTCACCTTGGCTGCGAGCAGCTGCAGCGTGACGGGCGGAAATACATCCATAACCTGTGCTTCGGCTAGACGCGATTTGAATATCTCTACGATCTGTGGCTTAGTGTAGGGCGGAAAGTGCATCAGTCTTGGTTTCAGCTCGCAGCGCGCATTCAGGCGCATCAGTGCACGATCTGTGAGATCCAAGCTGTTGGCAATGCCAACTAGCAAGATACGGGCACCGGGCAGCGCAGGCCACTCAAAGATAGTATACAAAACCTCCTGTCGTGTTGTGCACAGCTGATCGATCTCGTCCAGCACCAGCAGCAACATGCGCTTGGCTGTGCGCAGATGGCGTGTTATGGCCGCCAGATGATCACGCTCGGTGCGGCCCATTGGCTTCAGCTGCAGCTCCGCGCACAGCTTCTTATAAACGGCGCCCACGCTGGCAATGCTCGTGCAGTTGATGTAGACGCGTTGCAGTCGCTTGGCGAATTCCGGAGCGCGCAGCAGCAGTGACAGACAGGCGGTCTTGCCTGTGCCCGGCTGGCCGGACACATAGAGACTGCCAGAGGTTTGAGACTCCAAATGCTCGGTAAAGAATTCGCGCAGTTCCTGCAGCTGCGGCTCACGACCAGGTAGATTAAGCGTTTCGGCGCTGTTGAGCACACGACGCGCATTTTGATATTTATTGCGTGGCGGCGAGGGCTTTGGAGATTCTTCCCGCTCCGCCTTTTTGGTATGCGTTTCAGTCTTTCTTGGTTTTTCCTCCTGCTCATCACGCTCATCTATGCTCAGTCTGTCCAGCAGCCGCGAGGGGCTGATCAAATGCTGTGGCAGTGGCTGTGTCTTGCGCTGCTTAGGCGGCGACACATGTGCCGCCTCATCTAGCTCCTCCTCGCTGCTGCTACTGTCATCCATGAGCTTTGCTGCACGTCTGTTGGCCTCAATCCGTTTGGCCATGGTCGTCAACGCTTCAGTCGTGGTTTTTGTCGTGGTTTTCTTGCTGCTGCGTGGCGTCTTTAGCTGCTCTTGGTGTGTTTTTTGCGCAGCGGCTGTTTTACGTTTGCCCGCCTTGTCCATTTGATTCAACAGGTTGCTGTTTTCGTTATTCTCTGAAATTACACTAACAATATCATCCTGATCCTCGTCTTCACTGTCTAGAATCTGCTTTGATTGTCGTCTGCGCCAAATTTCTGAGCGTCGTGGCGTTGAGGGCAGCGGCGACTGAGGCAGCGCTGCCGTCGCCGTTGCTGCAGACTTGTTAATGCTGCTCAGACGCGTGGAGCGACGAACGGCAGCCATTTGTTAAGCTTTTAAAGTTAGTTGCACTGTTTTAATACTAGTTATGCAGTTAATTTAATTAATTGAAGTTTTTTCTTTCGATATTCGAGCAAAGCGCGACGGGATTAGTGGCAAAGAAAATGTAATCAAAAGGCGCGAAACAAGTCTCAGCTGCGCACCTCGATCAGCTGTCTGAGCTGCAGTCTGGCAACACTGCACAGCGTTGCATTCGATTGTTGGGCGCAGATATTTGAATTGTCGCCACGAATATTAAATTACTTACGGGCTTGTGCGGCTGCGTGTGACCAGGCAGCGTTTGTTTTCAAAAATAAAACAGCGAGCAGCAAATGAAAATTGCTGGACGAAGGCGAAAACGCTTACGTAAGCGCCTATAAATATTAGTCTCGCCTTGCTACGCTGAGATATTTTTAAAATATATGTATAGACAGACGCTCACACTCTCATACATGAAATGGAATTTTGGTAAATAAAGTTTATACAAAATTCAAAGATACCAAAACACATGCATGCAAATAAATTGAAATGTTTTGCTGTATGTGGTATAAAGCATAGCGAAATTGTTTTTATATACATTTGGAAGCTGCGGTTGTTCTACTGAACAACCATCGCATGATGTTGTTGCCCCATCGGACTTTGTACATAATTCATTTCATTTATTTAGATTATACTAGTTTGTAATCCTGCCAAATGTTTGCACACTGCTTGGCACATAGAATGTAATAAATTAACCACAAATGACATTTTGTTGTTTCACAGCCATACCGAACAACTCCACTGGTTCTGCCCGGTGCCAAAGTGAAAAAGGATGCACCCAGCACAGACTCATACTTGAGACACTACCCAAATCCAGCTGTGCGCGCCCATCCCGGACACGACTACCATGACAGTATCATGAAGCAACGCGTTGCCGATACCATGTTGCACAAGGTTGTTGGCCAGGATGCCGATACTGGCAGAGTGAGTATCCAAACACAAACAAAATCTCTTTAACAGCCAAATCTGACAGCCATCAATACGATTCTCGCTTAGGTTTTCCACAAGCAATTCAACTCGCCAATTGGTCTGTACTCCAACAACAACATTGAGGACACCATCAGAACAACAGTTCCGTAAGTTTACCACCCACTTGGAAACCTTTATGCTACTCAACTGACAATATCAAAAGCTTAGTTACAATACAATACACTAACAATTTTGAATATTTTCGAAAACGCTGTTAACCAACAAATTGCGATATTTTTGAAAAATTGAATTGAATAAAATACTTTGATTTGCGTAGTTTTTTGTCAAATTTGTATGCAGCTAAAAGACGCGCCTAGTATGCTTCAAACTAATATATAAACAACGAGCCATTATATTGATTAGTCGAAAGTCCGTGCGGATTGATTCTTAGTTAAGTTGCAGACCTAATCTATTAAGTTGCAGACCTAATCTATTAATCGTAGGAGACAAACAAAAATGATACCAAATTTACTAAACCACAGAGACACACACCCAATAAGACAAAGGCGTTCATAGATGTTGTATGTCTACTACTTGCTCTATGTTTATATATACACACATATGCTCTATATACACCACATACATATATCTCTATATATATATATATTCTATGTATATTGTTGTAGCTTTGCCACAAGCGATAGCTATCGCTTGAAGGAAAGTCCTTTGCATCGTCCTTTGCCAACAAAACTTGACGGGTAAAAGTAATCATATTTTGAGCACAGCCTGATAACTATATATAAACACATTTTTTATGGATTGATTGATTTTTGCATTACTTGGAGATCGTATGAAGAAGCCAAGCACTCGGTCTTCTAGAAACTTGATTTTTAGGCTTATTTGAAACTTAAATGTTTGCTATACACATTCCCAAAAATATCCCATGTGCACACTGTACTGCTGTACTCTCTGTACCACATTATCCTGCCTGCCAATATAAATTAACCGAATTGTTGTATACCCTGCCACAACAAGCGCAACCTGTGTAAAGTCTTAATCCTATGTCAAACATATATATTCTATATACATATGCTACAATCAACAGCCAGACACAATACGAACAACAAGTGCATGTGCTGTCTATATGTAACTATCCTCTATATATATATTCTCGTCCACATATCGTATGAGTCTATCGTGTTCCCATTCCTATCGCAAGTAAAAACTCCGACGAGCTGGTTTGCGAATGGGAGTCAACAGTTCTCATTCTTATCCCAAAACCTCTAGAAACCAGAGTTTAAACCTCTTCAGGCCTTTCGTTGTTGCCAGCGTGTGTTCCTAGAACTTTTACTGAATCTCAATCAGAATGGCAAATGTGTCGCAATTGTGAAAGGTAACAAGCAATTAGGACAGACGCTGTAAATATTACAGAATTGGGAAAATACGTTTATTAATTTGTAAGCAGCCGAACAGAATACTTGATACATATATTTATAATTTGGATAAGATGCCTAACAATCAATACAACACAATACTCTAGCCAATATACCATCTTAGACATAATGTTTAGAACTTAGCTGCACGATTAATGTTAGAATTTTCATCGATCTATCTTTCCTGGAACAAAAACGTAAAATACTGGAGCATCAAAAGCAAAAAGATCAACTTGCAGAGCAACAACGTCAACAGCGCCAACAGCAACTGCAGCAGCTCTATCAACAAAAATAAACTGATGATCAAAATCATTTTTTTATAAAAAAATATTAGCAAAAATTATTACTAGAGCAATGAACCCCTTGCCCAGCCCATGCCCATTGATAAGCTGACCGGCCCTCACAATCAATTCCCAAAAAGTTCCTTTTCAATTAACAAACATTAAAAGACGTTTGCTGAACTCTCCCACTAAAAGTGTCAAAGACAACACACATCAAGTTCCTAATTCCAAGAAACCCTCTAAGTATTAACCGTAATACCACAAGACCTTACTAATCAAACCCAAAGATTAATATATATATATATATATATACATTTTTTTTTATTAATTTTCAACTTTTGTTATGCCAGTTCTGTTAAAATTTACTTTTAATAATTAGCTTTAAGCAAGTTGTTGAATTTTTTTAAATTATTAATTAAAGTTGTTTGAGAAAGTGTCGAGTTTTAAGACAACGAGCACACTATGCCTATTTGATTAGAACATAACTACAACAAGAATCAAAATAATTCTAACGTATTTTGTGCACATCCTGTTTTTTTTTTCTTTCTATTCTCTCTCACTACTCTGTCTCACGCTACTCAACCGATGTACAAAAACCTCTAAACATTCATACATATTCATATATGTGTATGAACTTAACCATAATACAAAAAAAAAAAAAAAAAAAAACAAAAACCAAAACTGAAATGAAATAACGTTCAAATTTTCATAACATTATGTTGACAAATAATTAAAAAAATGGCGCTTTCAACGATCTCAATAAAAACCTGAAACAATAATCATGAACAAACGACAAACGCGGACGGACACACAGTTATAAGAAAACTGTTGTCTACGATCCAAGGAATAGCGACACCTACAGAGCCATACAAGAAGAGGGCGGCTACAGCAGCTATGGCCAATCCTCACCACAGGAAGTAACCATACCTGTGCAGACTAAGGTCTATCAGCCGAATAGATTGGTTCCAGGAAAGGTAAGATCGCGCCAACTGTCAAATCGTCCAATCGAAAAGTATTCGAAAACTTTATGTCAGATTTGATATATACTATATATATATAAATATATTGTCAGACAAGATCGCTCGATTGCACTTTGAATACTCTATCTCTATCTTGCTCTCTCTATATTTTTAATTGTATCGCCGTCTCACGTACAGTCAAATCAAAATTTTTGTTCGTTTAGTACAGTCACAGCATTTTTATTGTCCTTTATTTTGTGTCCATGTCCACGCTATGCCTACCAGAATGTTAAGCGCCGCTTTAAGTCGAATGTTTAATGTACTGTTAGGCAGTGTACCGATTACTAACTGGTCATGATAACTATAATACTAATACGGTTTTTTTGATAACTTGTCATGGCATCTGCAAGTCGTACAACATCATTAATCCCATCTCTGTGTATATTTTCCCAATCGCATTATCAGCAATTTTTTGGCATTATAACAAAGTCAGCTGCTAACTGAAAGCACGCTCATAACATTTGATTATTGCGGTGAGAAATAACTAAACTATATTAATAAAGAAATATCTAACGGAAATATATTTATTAAGCCAGAGTTCTTTTTTTGTTTCTTACATTCCCCATATACATTTTACAGAAACCAGTATCAGCGCCAGCATCCCGGCCGCCGTACAATGTAAGTAACAGAGTGCTGATTAACAGAGCGCTGTTAATGCCAATGTTAATTGTTTACATATGCTTAACAGGTGGTAAACACCCACGATGAGAACATACGCCAGAGCGGCTCTTTCAATCGTCTGATGTACAGCGTTATTGGTGCCACAGACTACTAAAACAACAACAAGAAGAGAAACAACAACAGCGACAGCAACAGCAACAGTAACAGGAATGGTAACAGTAACAGCAACGGTAACAGTAGCAGCAACAGTAACAGCAGGAAGCAAACTGGCGATAAAAACAATAACAACAAACAACAACAGTTGCTAGTTAAGAGTTACTTAACCAATTTAGCGGATTTTTATGAAATTCTGTTTAACTTATTAAATAATTTATATAAAGAACGAAAAAAAAACACTCAACTAACAAAACAAAATACCTTAAAATATATTACGAATCGGTACAGAAATTGAACGGAGATGATCTAAATTAATTATACACAACAAAAAATCGCTCATAGATGAGTTAATTGTTCTCAACCCTTTTGTCACTCTCCACATGCAATAGTCAATAATAATAAAAAAAATATTTAAATTTTAGTTAACGATTTTTAACTTTATGTTTTTATGTTCATTTAAAGTTAACTTCTTCAATGGAAGTCAACAGCGAGTGGCTCTAGTCATTACAAATGTATAAGAAAAACTCAATTTCAAACGAATTAAAATAAATATAATATATGCATATTGGCAAGTCGAGGCAAAGAACGATATTTCTTTAAGAAAACATTAATAACTGAACTTAATTAGAGCCTAATGACTGTCAAGTTAACAGTTCGTTTCCTTGATTTCCCAATGCCCAACCCGCCGATCTTTGCATAACATGACGCTGCAAATAAAAACATTTGAAATCCATCAATCAACCAGGCAATTAAGTACATTTTTATTGAAATTATGTGTATGCAAACATGAGCCAAGCAACAGCACATAAAATTTGACTATAATTTTATTGAAATGAGACACACTTGTGCCATAACAATTGTCTGCTACACATAATGTACTTTCACTTCACGGCTAAGTAATTCGTGATCCGGGCACACACACACAACATTTAGCTCGCCCCCATTAAACGGTCAACGGCTGACGAAAATCGCATATTCGGTAAGCTCCATAATAAAAAAAGTAACTCCAACGACCTTGGCAAACCAAATCCTTACCAAGACCCGAATCTGCAATGCACAGTGCTTTATATAAAACCCTAGGGCGTAACTGTAAGCCCCAATTTGTGGGGCTCTACATTGTAACAGATCGAAGCAATAGTTACTCTTAAGTAATCGCATCAGAGACGATTACAAATATCGTATTTTATGAATGCCTCGTCTGTGGGTGGGCATCGTTGGGTGTGTGGGGTGGGGTAGGGCTCTGTTGCTTTATTGAGGTTTAATGACTGCGTGGTTGATAGATAGATACGTACGTACGTGCGATCACATGGCAACAGTTGGTGGTACTTGCATCTGGTGTAAAGGTCTTAAATGCAAAGATTTGGCAATCGGAGCGCCAGCAAATCACATCAAAGATCGCTGGCATACTTGAAGCTATTCAACCGCAACGTGGTCGCAACAGATACAGATGCAAATACATAGATAGAAAACAAAGACAGCAAAAACGTTTCGATTTCGAGTTTGCAGTGATTTAGCGATTTGGGTCAATCTCTATGAACAATGCACTTATGCACTTGTCGGATTAAATTCAATAAATTTGCTTTAAACGAAGCCCTAAACGCATTGACCTCAGCCAAGTAAACCCTAGTAATGTTAATTGCCTGTAGATGCTTTTGCAGATGATCTAACGATAATTGAAGTCAAAAACGAGCAACGCCAATGTTAACTAACAGCAAGGTACAGCTGCCAACACTGAGTCAAAGAGCCATGTTAGTTAACAGCAGGCTTTAACAGTTGATTATGTTAGCAACATATTTGGGGGATAGCACGTAATGTTTGTGCATGCAAATGAAGTAAACATTAACTGGAGCAAAAGTTTTCACTAAACAACAATGACACACAGGTCGAGGCGATTTGGAAAATCAGCTGAGCAGATACAGAGACAATGCTGCCCATGATATAATGGCAACGGAAACGACAACTATGTATGTAAGCCAACAGCTGTTGTAAATCAAAAAAGAGGCTACCAGCAAACGCTCCACTTGGCCGTTAGGAGAGCGGAGAGCCAACTAGTTGCCGCTCAACAGCGTCGTTAGACGTCGTCAACGGTATTCGATATAAAAGTGCAATTGGGGTTCGCAGCCAACGCAGATTGTTTTGTGGCTTGGAGTGGGACGTGCGCGTTTTGTCGAACCAAAGTACCAAAGTGAAGTGTTATTCAGCTCGCGTTTAAGCCAACAGCAACCCGTCTATAACAATGCAGCTTTTGCTCGTGGTGGCCACGGTCGCGATTTGTGGCGTCGTTCAAGCGCAACAGGGCGTCGATCCCGCCTATTTGCGTCAGTATTACCAGCAGCTGCAGCAGCAGCAGCAGCAGCAACAGCCCTCCGATGGCACGCCCATTTATGAGCAGAACTCCGAGCAGACGCAGCAGTACGTGAGCTCGGGACAGCAGATCCGGATTAAGGACACGGTGGCGGAGCAGATACGCGCCCAGCAGCAGCAATCGCAGGGATATGTGGCGCCAGCGGTTAGAGATTATCTGCATCAGCCACAGGTGAGCCAAACTCGAAAGGTAACTAAAAGCTTTTGCAACTATTCTCTCTTCCCCCGCCTCCTCTTGCCGTTGCAGTACCAGTCACAGGCCCAGCCGAGCGTCTATCGCCAGCCACAGGCAGCCCCAGCGCCGCCGCGTCGCGTCCAGCCCGCCTACCAGGCCTCGTCGGCGCCGCAGCTCGGCAAAGGACAACACAAACTGCAGTCGCACCAGCAGCAGCTGCAGCAGCAGCAGCAGCAGGCCGAGGAGGAGGAGCAATACGATGATGTAAGTTGGCCATAACGTGTTCGAACTCCACTTCAGGTTGACAGCTACAGCAGCAGCAGCAGCCGCAGCGGCGCTGCTTTCGCTTTCGCCAAACACAATGCTGCCAGCGCATAATTACAATTGAAGCATGCAGCGGGGAGAGATTTGCCCGTAGAGTTCATTAACCAACAACCACAATGCACAGCTCCAGCTCCAGCTCCAGCCCCAGCCCCAGCCCCAACGGGCAGCCAATAGCCATGACCATATGCAACATTCCATGTGGCATGTGTGCCTGGCTCGGACGTTTATTTATGGGCTGCTCATGCGGAAGCTGCGGATGCACGATAGCCACTTATTCAATATAAAATGCACATTAATCCGTTGGCTTAGGCAAAACTAGCTTTGCATATGAGTGGGAAAACATTGAGGCTAAACATGAAGCAACAGTTGTGGGCTTTCTTTCAAGTGAGAACTGTTAAGTGAAAGCTGTGAAATCTGAGAAAAGAAGAGTTCCAAATTATATCAGGTAAATAGGTATATAGAAGAGTGCAATGCGATGTATATAGAAACTCCTAAAGATACAGTTTCGGCGGAGACAGACTAGTCCAAGCAAGATTTTGCTGATAAGTGCTGCCAGCGCATTCCGTTTTATAATTTTACCAATAAGTGCTGCCACTGCGTGAAGTTCTTAGCTTGTGCTGATTAGTGCTGCCAGTGCATGCAATCCTCAGCTTTTTCTGACAAGTGCTGCCAGTGCATGCAATTTTAGGCCAGTGCCAGATATATACAAGTGCTGCCAGTTTATTTCGTTTTTGATCTGGCTGATAACGGCCAAAGCATTCCATTTTTTTTTCTTGGCCAGTGCAACCAATTCTCACAAATCTCCAAAAATGGTGCCACAAAAATGTCAGGCTGCATGTCACGAGCACATTCGCCGCAGTTACAATCACTTTCAAATGCGACCCATATACCAAAGCCCCCAATATACGTTCAGTTCCGAATGGACAGTGCACGCATTAGAACCGGCTCTTAAACTGGCTTTTTGGCCAATTGCCTTTCCAATTTGTGTTTATTTGTATTTTTTTCTGTCGCTCAGCTGCACTCGTTGCATTGCAATAATTTTGCTTGGTTTTTGGGCCACGTCGGGCCAAGAACAATTGCTGCAGTCGCGTCTGGCCACGCCCTAGGCCACGTTTTCGTCTTACCTTAACCCAGTTTGGGCTGTGGGCGGTGAGCCTTAGCCAGGTGTGTGAAGCTTCCGCGCCAGCCACAACCTTGTGCATAAATTAAGCGCTGCAAAAATAATAAGTAAATACATAAGCCATATTCAGGCCTCAATGCGCGTTACGTGCAAAAGATTTCTGGGGATTCGAGCCGCTTCTACCGCTACCTAGTTGCATAAGACATGCGATCGCGCCCATGCCCCAACGATCCAACGATCGGCTGCAATATGGCGTCTTGAAAATATGCAAGTCGAGTCCAAATTACTTTCACTTGTGCGTGTCGAGCGACTGGGGATTAGATGGTGGGCATTGGTTTCTGGGTCTGCGACGGGGACACACACCCACACGCGGCAGGCCATGTGATGTAATTGCCAAAAGAAAAAAAACTGGGTCACTTTGCGCCACGCATTTGAAATGATCTCGTTTATATAGATATAGATATATATATATAAATGTGCTTGCCTGTCTGGTTGATTGCAGCAAAACTCCTCGTACCAGTTTGGCTTCGATGTGAAAGATGACGAGTTTACCAATTATCAGAATCGCAAGGAAGTTCGCGACGGTGGGGTTATCAAGGGCAGCTATTCTGTGGTCGATTCCGATGGCTTCATACGCACGGTCAAGTATACAGCCGACCCCAAGGAGGGCTTCAAGGCGGAGGTCATACGCGAACCCACCGACATTGTCGTTAAAATACCAACGCAACCGCCGCCAACGCAGCTGCTCCGCTCCGGCGGCCACAAGGCGCCCCAGGAATACAGCCAGGCCAAGCAGCAGTACCAGCATCAGCAGCACCAGCAACAACAGCAGCAGCAGCAGCAGTCGCAGTATCATCAGTACCAGTAAGAGGAGATCCTCTATACTCATATCTACTTGAAAGTTCCGCAAGTCCATGTAGTTTGTAAATGCGCCGACTCCCGCGTACATAACATTATTCAGTTTACATCAATACATATGTATGTATACATAACGTACGTACGTACATACGACTTTCACCAGCTTGCAGAATACGCTTATGTTTGTGTATAGCTCAAGCGATCGAAATTATTTGCTATACTCCGTACATTTTATGATTTTCTCATTTAGAATATTTAATTAAAAATTGTATAAAAAAAAATTGTTGTTTGTCTTTTAGAAGCAAAAGAAACTATGTGAACAAAAGTTTTTCTGTTATCGCTTGGGTGATAAAATGCGATTCTAACTTCTTAAAATTTCATTCGTGCTAAAAATTAATTCTAGAGCTCCTCTGAATAACTGTCCCGAACCAATCTCGTTGCCGTACTGGCGTCCACTGAAGCACTCTGACCATTTTTAATTTTCATGATTGTAGAACTCCATGATTTGCGAGTAAACAAATTTAATTGCGCATAAATCAATGTGCTAACCCTTCAGGCAAATGGACAAAGACAAGATCCAAGTCTATCGACCAAATGACACACAGAGAGACATACAACCCAACCCGTTGGGCCAGTTGGTGCCTGGTGCTGACAAAGGCCATCTAATGTGGAAGTTCTCACAACATGAGCCCGTGGTCACCCAAAGATGCTCGCCCAGACAAAGCTTGGGCCGGTCAAACCGGTTGCGCTTCTTGGCTTGGGAACTGGAACTCACGCCACATCAATCGCAAACGCTGGCAATAGTGTCCTTTTGCAATGTCCTTGCATAAATTAGTCAAGAAGTGTGAGAACCATTGCCAGAATGAGCGCGAGCCAAGGGTTATCACTTTAGATCAAGACGCTGATGACCTTATCGGCCAGAGCAACCGAACCGAACCGGTTCTGGACAGTCAGTCGATGAGTGACAGACCCGCATGACTGCGGCCGTCTAAGCAAACGGTTACCTTACCTGTGCCCCAGACTCGATCTGGTATTGATCTAGTCGCTGATCCCTAGCTGGATTTGGGCAGCACATGCAACTTGGTCAGCTGTTGTCTCATAAAACAGACAACAACTGGACATCGGCTGGCCGCGGGGCATTTGTGTCATTTAGCCGAGCGCCTCGATACGCCTCGAATGCAAATGAGGTGCAACCCTTGAGGTCACTTGAGCGACTTACAAGACAGCGCAACAGCCGATAAGCCGATCCGCTGCAGCTAGCAACCCTCTCCTGTAAGGACATTTGCATATGACCCGCATGCGTCGACCGACCGACCGACTGACTGACTGTCTGTCTGTTTGTCTGATATGCTCTGGTCTGGTCTTGGGCTCTGTTGTAACTAAGTAACTGCAGGACATTTCGGGTCATTGCTTAGAACCAGTTCTTGGGCCAAAGGATAGCCAAGGCGGACGCATTGACCTTTTTCCGCGGGCCAGTGCTGGCGACAGCCCAGACAGACAGACAGACAGACAGACAGCACAGACACAGAAAGTCGTGTAACCGGACTGTCCACTTTTTCTCGCATAACCCGTGAGAAAATAACCGGAGTATTCCCAGGCGCTGACCTATGATAAGAATTATTTGCTGCTGCTTTCTTATGCAAATCTTTTGCAGGACCTTTCAAATTACACGCCAAATCATTGCCCTTAAATAAATAATACGCCAAAATTATGAAAAGTCACGATTTACTGAGCAGTTCTCACCAATGCAAAAGAGATAGAGACACACAGAGAAAGTGAGAGAGAAAGAGTTTATGCAAATTGTTTGAGCTCAGAGTTTGCCCTGCGCCAAGTCCCAGCGATGCTCGCCATGACCACCTCGACGATCCGTCCAGATCACCTGGAAGCATACACAATTTAGTTTGCCCGATTGGATTCCTTTTGGATGTTAACCCACCTCGCCCTTGTAACGATTTGTGCCGCGTTGCGTTTCAAAGCGTCGCTCCCGCAGTTTGGGATGCTCCACCACATGTCCATGACTGCGTCCATGGGGTCCATCAAATCTCATCAGGATGTCGCTAATTTTGGTAGAAGAGAAAATTTAGCTTAGCTTCTTCTCCAGAATCCTCTAGCGCTTACTGAAAATATTTGGATTCCTTTGTGGGTCGCTCCGTGCGCGTTCTGGACTCCGCGGCCACCGCATCCGCAGCCTGCTTGGATGCATAGCGACGGGTGCGTTGCCCCAGTTGCAGTTGCTGCTGCTGCTGCAATTGTTGCTGTTGTTGCTGCTGGGCACGCGCGGGCACCACATGCAACACATCGCTGGTGAACAGGGCAGGCGGCACATTATACAGCTGATCCTCTAGATGCTGCTGCAGCTGCTGTTGTTGCTGCTGCTGCTGCTGCTGCCGCTGTATGGTCGGCGAAGGAGCTGCAACTGGCACCCGCTGCTGCATGGGCATATAGTTGCCCTCATAGCGATACTTGGCCAGCTCCGCTTGCGGCGCCGCAGAGCGCTGCACATACTGCACACTGGACTGTGGATAGAGGGCAGGCAAGGCAGCAGCTGGCGCTGGCGGTGCTGGTGCCGGTGGCTGCTGTTGCTGGTACTCCAGGGCCAGCGGCTGGTAGCTGGCGCGATAGTTGATCAGCTGGAAATTGGGCGTCTGCTGTTGATAGTGTGCAGCAGGCGGCGCCACATAGCCGCCCACATAGGGCGCGGCCACATACTCCAGACGGCGCAGACGTGGCGGCGCATCATAGTAGAGGCGCCTGTGCGGATAATAGTGCTGGAGCTGGGCTGGCGTCGGCAGCAGCAACAGCAACAGCAGCTGGCAGCAGGTTAACAATGTGATTGCGGCGGGCAGCTCCATCTCGTGGCACGCTCGTCAAATTTGTGGCTACATTTTGACAACAACATTGGCATTTATAGCCAGGCAGGTGGCTCGGCTGGGCTTGGGGCTTGGCCCGGCTCGGTCAATGCCGGAAATTGGTGCTTTGCCCAGGAGTCAGCGGTGTGTGAAATCGATTGAACGCTGCCCCAGTCCCGCTCAATTGTGCAATGCTCGAGCGGTCGCGGCAGCAGCCAGCGGCCGTTACGCGGCATTATATAAGCAGAGGCTCGGATGGAGGCAGATGAGATCCGTTGAGATCTGGCGGCTGGCGGCGGCAGCTGGCCTTAGACATTTATCAAGGTCAGCCTAGGCTGCCTGGCAAGTTCAAAGCTTTGCTATTTAGAATACAGAAAAGTTGTTGGCACGTCCAACAGCCATCTCCGGCACAAAGCCTTGCTGATTGGCTGCTGTCGCTGGCCTAGGGGGTTGTTTTGTGCTTTGGCTGACCTATGGCACAGAAGGGCTGTCAGCAACCCCGCTGTCAGCAACCCTCGAAAGCCTTCCTCGCTGTGCCGCCAAGGACTGCAGCTCATTCGACTTCCTCAGTTGAAAGCCAAAGCAACAGCAACAGCAAACGCCGAAGCAAAAACTTTTCAGCCCAAAACGAATTCTCAGCACTTGGTTCCTCAACGCACTGTGGAAGAGCTGTAAGTGCCCACATATTTTGTAGATAGCCATAAGAGAATTTATATTTAATTAATATAAGGACACGTGGTCAAGTTTCAACAATTCAACATTAAAAACTCCAGTTCCACTTAAGTTCTGCAGAGTTAAGGAGTGCGCGTGATATACGATACGATTATAATACAAAGATTGTGGCCTCTCGATGAGAAACGCCTGCTGCAACAGGTTTTCAGTGCTTTCGATACGGTATTTAATAGTCGGTCATCATTCGAATCTAATCAGCCATATTGACATTGTTCATGCGCATCTTGGCAAAGTCTTCAAATACAATATTATCATCGTCGTCCTGGTAATAGCCCTTCACGCCGCGATGCTGCTCAATCGACTTCATTTTCTTCATCGCATTCGAGCGCTTCTTCTCAATGGTGCCTGGTTCAAAAATGAATGAATATGTTTGTGAGATGAACTGAAGTGAATCCAGGTGAATTGGATGCCTACCTGGTGCCGGCTGCAGCAGCTTGAAGGGCACATCCGTTTGCATCTCGCCGCCGAGGGTGCCGCAGTTCAACTTGATGCGCACCGAATAGGAGATGACAATGCCGCAGGCATCGCCCGTATTTTTGCCCTCCTGCACCATGGTCGAGGAGGCCAGATTGACATCCTCATCCTTCAAATGGCCATCGAGTGCAATGCCTAAGGAAGACACGAGCTTAAGTCATTGGGCTGGTTGCCCCTGGTTAGGCCTGTGCACTCACCATGACGATCCTTGTTGTTGGCCGCCAGTGGGATCAGATAGAAGGTCTTGGTCAGATTGGCGCCCGGTGTTATGGGGCAGCCCTCCTTGGTTTCCAGCTGTGCCACATGCTTGCTGAACTGCGCATTCACCATGGTGATCTCGGTGTGCTGGACAATGAAGCACTTGATGCTCTTCACCGACTTCTTCGAGTTGTTGGTAACCTGCACCGTGGCGGCAACCTTCTCGCCGTGATAGTAAATCTCCCGGTCGAGCGTTACCTCCAGGCTGATCTTGCCATTGGAGAAGGTGAAGCCCTTGCTGACCAGCGAGCTGGGCAAACGCTGGCCGCGATTCAATGGTGCATACTGCAGCTTCTTGATCACCAGACTGACCATGCTGCGCTTGTGCTGACGATCGTCCTCGGAGTCAGCGACATAGGCGCGTATGGTGTACTCGACGCCGAGCGGCTTGCCCAGATCATCGCCCTCCTGCTGCAGTGTCACAGAGCTGGGCGAACTGGGCGGGAAATGGAAGGTGAATGGATGCGCATGGCTGCCCAATTTACGCACTAGCTTCTCCTGCATTGGCGTCATTTCCATATTCGGATTGGTCATGGGCACAATTTGCTCTCGGGATAGAATAAGCTCCTTGGAGAACTTAACGCCCATGACTTCATCCTCCTCGCGGCCATAGCGATAGATAGTCGCCAATTGGCCAAATACTTTGCGATTCTTCAGATACTCCGGCTCCACGACAATCACGCCATCAACGGGATCACAATAATCCAAGTGATCGATAAAGTCACGACGGCCCAAATAGAAGGTAACCTTGCCGTTGGGTGTTGCCTTCTTAAAGACCTTCACGGAGACAACCATCCTGCTGGATCAACAACTTATTTCTATTCAAGTTTAAATTAGATAATCGATTTCGCGTCCGTTTAGCCCGTTTGGAACGTTTGCAGTTCTTCGTTGATAGAGGAAAATGCGAAACGGAGCTTCTGTACAACCTGCTTATATACCTTTGGATGGGCCAACCGCCGTACGTGGGGTTTCACTTGCGACCACTAAGTGGATTTGGCCGTTATGCAGTTGCTTGTATAAATTGCCCCCAGCATGTTTTGCGCCCCATTCCATTCCGTTTGACCAAATTGGCTAATGTCAAGTAGCGTTCGCGACCTCGTGCGAGGTCGCTCGCATGTTTGTCTTCCCTTTCCATTGCGTGTCTCTCGGGGATTAGCATTCGATTAGCTATTGGCACATCTAGAGCTCAGGCCGCCTGGCGTGATCGACAATTTTACGCATCGGGTTGGATTGACGTTTTTCCCAGGGAAGCCCTAGAAGTTAGCCAACGTGTTGCAGTAAATCAAATATCAATATATCGATTTTATGTTGACTTTCGAATGTTTAAAAGTGTGCAACGGATATGTATCTACATAATTATGTGCAGTTCTCGATGAAGGTTAATCAAAAACAATGAACCGGGTTCAATTTATATCATAAAAAGACTTCGGAAAATGTGTTTGAAGTCCATTGAGCTAAGAACCAAAAGTGGGAAAAGGATTGTGATGTAAAGCTTGAGGCCGAAAAATTAACTTTCGTTCGGTCAACCTTTGACCCGCTCCTGTGTGGATTTTGCGAAAGGTGTGAAAAGGCTCTTAAATCATTTTTCACAAAGATCTGTTAAAGTGAGTTCGAGAATATCGAATGGTAAAAAAAAAATATTGATCTCGAATTGTTTTACGCGCTTTTTCCACACTCCTAGATGGAATTGTCATAAGGTAACTAGAGTAAGCGTCAGGAGAGTCAGGAATCAGGAGAGATTCTGTATACCTTCCACTAATATTACATTTATATATTTCTCTATATATTTCAGCAAAGCAATGCAAACACACACGCACACCACACCAGATCGTCATGGCTATAGCCTGCGCTTCTCGCCCTTCGAGGCGAATCATATGCTGCTCGCAACTAGGTTAGCTTACAACCAGCTCCCAACTACAGAATATATATTAACCCGATTTAATGAATTTACAGCCAATTGTACGGTCTTGCTGGTGGCGGTTCGCTCTTTCTGCTTGCCCAGAGCTCCACAGATGACGCCAAGATAGGCGTCCATGCACAACAGCAGCTCACAGAGCTGTGCCGTCTGGAGTGGTCCGATGGGCTGTTTGATGTCGCCTGGTGTCCATATGCGGCAGATATAGCGGCCACCGCCTCTGGCGATGGCTCGCTGCAGATCTGGTCCGGGTTGGATGTCGAATCGGCGGTGACAGAGCAAACGCCCAAAGAGCCATTGATTTGCCTGCAGGAACACAAGAACGAGATCTACAGTTTGGATTGGGGCGAGAAGTGGAACTATCACACTTTGCTCTCGGCCAGTTGGGACTGTACACTCAAGCTGTGGGATTGCAACAGGCAGAACTCCATCACGACGTTTGTGGGACACAATGATTTGATATATTGCGCAAAGTTTTCGCCATTGATCGCGAATCTCTTTGCCAGCGTAAGTACCGATGGGCATTTAAACTTATGGAATTCTCTTGATTTTCCAGGTAAACCTTTGATGAGCATCGAGGCGCACGCTAGCGAGGCCCTATCCTGTGACTGGAGCCACTTTGATCGCAATGTGCTGCTAACGGGCGGATCGGATGGTCTAATACGTGGCTGGGATTTGCGAAAGATGCGCACACACATCTTCGAGCTGTACTCGGGCGAGTTTGCGGTCAGACGTTTGGCCTGTTCCCCGCACTCGGCGACGGTGTTTGCATCGGCCAATTATGATTTTACAACGCGGTAAGTGGATTGAATAATAGCAAGCGAGAAGTCGCCGGCTCAAATTCAGCAGCAATTCCATTTCCAACTGGACCTATATCAACTATATCTATTTCTTTCTAACATCCATAGCATTTGGGATCTGGGGCGAGGCGAGTCCCCGCAGGAGATTAATGCCCAGCACACGGAATTTGTTTGCGGTCTGGACTGGAATCCTCAACGTGCACATGAGCTGGCCGATTGCGGCTGGGATTCGTTGGTAAATGTCTATACGCCGCAGTGCCTGGCTTAGATAATATAGCCACAATAGCTTCATATGCTTTAACGCTGGCCTTACCCTTACCCAAAACTGGATAACTGGAACCGCGCATCTAGAATCTGGAACTGGTACTCCAAAACCGCAAACGAAATGTGATAAGGTGCACGTGGCACCAAAATAGCCTACAAATGGTAGACAACTGAACGATAGCTGAGCTATGAAACCTCTAAGGAAACGATTACCTGTAACTTGTTGTGATATATGGTCGAAGAGAGAGAGAGCGAGAGAGAATACCCTATGAAACAAATCCCAATTTTGCAGGTGCTTGAAATGTCAATTAAAAAGAAAAAGCTAACAAATTATATACTCTTATAATCGTAGAGATTTGTTTAACTATCAGCGCTGCGGGCTATAATTAATGTGTATAAATATTATTTTTGGTTCTGGTTCGAGCTCTTAACAAGAACTTAACGGCACTCGCTTAGGTGCCAAAAAGTCAGCAGACGTTGAAGTAGCCAGTCCCTTATCCGGTTGGATACGCTTCCACTCGTAAGCCAAACAAACACGCAATAAAGCGCTAATTTGCTGCAACGTTTTATTGCCTGCCTGCCTGCCTGGCTGGCTGAATGAAAG